AAGAAAGAAAGAAAGAAAGAAAGAAAGAAAGAAAGAAAGAAAGAAAGAAAGAAAGAAAGAAAGAAAGAAAGAAATTCTCTTCTGTGGGGTTTCAGGCCACTGAATACACTAGGTTTATTTAGGTGTTGAAGAATGTATCTTTTCACCTGTTTTATGATCTCAGTAAATGTTGGGATGGTTTTCTTGAAATGTTCTGGGACATGATCAACAGATACATTTTACCTTCTAGGAATAATTGAAAACTTTGACTTCACTGAATTTATATTTATTTATTTATTTATTTATTTATTTATTTTTATAAGAGGGTACTTGTCACCTAGGGAGCAGGGTGACATAAAAACATCAAAACTTTTCTTGCTTAGTATAAACAGAAAGTCTCAACATAGCTAATTGAGTGGAATCTTCTCCTATGGAGATCAATGAAACTAGGTTTGCCTTTTTCTCTTTCCCAATAATAGTATTATAGAGATCAACAGAAAGCATTTTAAATAAAAACTTGACTCTGATGTAGAGACTATTTTCAACTCTTCATTTTTCTGCTTCATAACTATAGTTGTTCACATTTATTTTTTAAGCTATGCTTTATAAGATTTCTATAATGTATAGAAATTGCAATGCTGTATCTAGACATAATTATCCTTTTTAAAATTTTTGTCCATGGTGGAGAGTCTGGATAAAGACTGATTAGAAATGAGTTCCAAGATAACTGACTAAAAAATCATTAGATAATTTAAAATATTTCCCTATAATCTCTTTATTTTAAAATTGGCCAATTCAACATGCTTGTTTTGAGAATCATTTATTAAGCCTTCCCAAAAAATATCCTTAGAAATGTATATGCTATCGAGATATGAATTTATAGTTTGCTTCTCTAATTCAGTGTTTTCCAGTTTCCTACTCTCATCAATAGATGCAAAAGGAGGACTGTAGCTAGGATAACTATGCAAAGGGTCTTGGGAATTAGGTGATGAAATCCTATTTTGTTGATACTTCCTCCTCCTTCTGATAAACCATTTGAGATAAGGATGATATAACACCCACTGCCTATATAAGATACCAGTTTTCTGTGAAAGATTCTTGTATCTAAGAGTCCAGATGGAGTCAATATAGATGCAGTTTTGTACATGTCTCTGAGGCTAAACAAGTTGAGACGATTGCAAAATGCTCCAAAATAAAATAATCAAATATCGCGATATAATACCAACCTTGCTTGGTGTTCTTTACAACCTAATCTCCTAACTGTATCTCATCTCTTTCCAAATGTCTCACTGTCAAAGCCCTTACTGAGATTTCAGAAGCTTGGCAACAAATCTCATCAAACAACTTAACCTTCTAGGCACTAAATCTGTCTTACTTCCTCAAACTGACACTCGGGTAGGTAATCTCACATTAACCAGCTGTAGCTTCTTTGAAAACATTTTCTTCCTCTTCCTCATCTTTGTATTTGCTTTGAAATCTTGCTAATGTTGCAATTTAAATAATCTGGCTATGACTACTGTATATAGATTCAAATAAATGAGCTTCACCAAAACTCAACACCAGTTGAAATTTAAAAATTATGAATTAGCATTATATTATGTTCCAAAAGATTTTTAAGAACACTTCCAGAACGCAAATATCAACATAGAATGAGAAGAGTTAATGTAAACACTAAAATCAACTAAATTTTTAGCTTCCCCGTTATCTTTTTCAAAGATCTGGCTTTTAATGTCCTCATTTTCAAGGTTTACATTCAGGTTCCCCTACTTACTCCACCCCCCCCCCAAAAAAAAAAAAGACAGTTTCAAAGGGGTAAGAATAAGGAAACCCTGAGATTTATGGTTAGCATAAGGGCCAATATCTGAGTTCCATCACTCTTAGGGGAAGATATTCCTCTATTTTGCTCTGACCTTTGAGTGGGAATAACCTAGTTCACTTTAATCTATATTCTAACAGCCCCAGTATGATAGCTATAGGGCACTAATTAGAATGCCTTCCTAATTTTAAATATTATATATTTAGTAAATTTGAATGCAAAGATTTAGCAGAAGTTCTGTAGAAATTCCACTTGTCAAAAAAACATTTGCAGAATCCTTGCCAATTTAATGATATGTATCACAGCCTTTCCCAACTGGCATTCTGTGAGGAAAGTACGACCTGCACAATGCTCTGAGTGATGTCTCCCAGTAATTTTCCTTCTTGCTGCTAATGTCAGGCTGTTCCTTTCTCTGAAATACATTCCTACATTTCCCCGGAGCTAATCTTCATCCTGCCAATGGCAAGGAGTTCCCAGTGCCATCTCCACTCTGCAGGCATCGTGCGGATACACAAGTTCCCTTTGAGAATGTTCATGGCATTACACTCTTATATTTCTAATGGAATGATAATTTTCTGCCTTTTGAGTTATTCATACATGTCTTTTCTTTCTTACAAGGCTGTAAGTATATAAAAGAAGCATTTTGGCACACCAATTTGGCCAGAGAATCTGTGTTCTCTGGCATGTGGAAACAGAAAATAGTTAGGATGCTATTCAAAGGAATGATTTTGAAACATAAATAAAACTAAAATTTTGATGTAGTTTCAGGCTATAATGCCACCTGATTGCTCACATCACTCTCTGAAGGCAAAAGATCAGGATCTGAGTTGCAGCTTATCTGTTTCCTATATGTAACCAAGAACATTTGGCCACCTTGGTCTTTATGTCTTTATGTGTTAGCTGCTCATCCTGCTTCCCAATAGTCTCATTCTTAGGTTTATGTTATTCAATGTGATTAACATCACCTAAAATCTGATGCTTTAATTATATGTCTATCGTTATCTGCACCTTTTAGAATATAACTTCTATGTGGAATCTATACATATGTAAGAATGTATATATATATATATATATATATATAGTGCATACATAGACTATAAAGTCCAGGTGGAACATTTTATACATGTACATATATATATGATCATTTTCATATATAAGGAATATAAGCCTTTTGGGAAATATTGTGATCTATATAAATTTATAGCATATATAATTTATGAGGAATGTATTATAATAGTCCTCATGGAGTTTATATTCTACAGGAATCTGTATCTATAGACAGAGATAGAGATAGGAAATAGATTCACATCTTGCAAACCTACCCATCTGTCTGTACTGTTTAGTTCTTACACAGTAGAAATTCAATATAGTGAATGATTAAACAGGCAAACACAACTAGGAATTCCAGGAATAGAGTTTAAAAACCTGTGCTCTACAGACTTCAGACATTTTCTTAGGATTGTTGGATCACCAGAGAGCAATATACCCTTTTATCTCAGCTCCCTGAAAAAAAAATGCCTTTACTGAAATATGATTAAGTGTTATGCCCTCAGCTTTCAGAGGAATGTCTACCTGAACAGTGATTTTTGTCTTTTGTTATTCCATGACCCCAATTTAAGAAGCTTTGAAATACATTTGTCCTTGAATTCAGGGCCAAAAAGTTTGTCTTTTCAATCTAAATTATGCTATTTTGGTCAGAAAATGAGAACAAAGCACATCAAGCAATCTCCCTTTGTGTCTTAGGTTCCTTGACATTCAGTTTGGTTCAGTGCTTTGTGGTGGTAATTACCAGACTCAGGTACCTTATATACATTTATCTACTGGTTTTCATTAGATTCTGTCACTGAATTGTGTCATATCATACTGCAACTAATTTCATAGGCTTCTCAAAAGTATTTTGGAAAAAGTCAATTTATAAAGCTCAGATTAATAAACTAGCAACCGACATTACTGTGTGTGGTGTGTACAGTGTGCAACTAGACAAGGTGTTGTTTTTTAGTTAAAAATGGTAAACAGCCGGGCATGGTGGTACACGCTTGTAATCTCACCAACTCGGGAGGCTGAGGCAGGCAGACTGGACTGCGAGCTCAAAGCCAATCTCAGCAAAAGCGAGGCACTAAGCAACTCAGTGAGATCCTGTCTCTAAATAAAATATAAAATAGAGCTGGGATGTGGCTCAGTGGTTAAGTGCCCCTGAGTTCAGTCCCCAGTACTCCAACCAAAAAAATGGTAAAGAAAATTTCATACATTATGGTATCTTTGGCAAAAATTTCACAATTTTGGCAATGTTAGATGAAGGATGTTATACACAAAATTATAAAATTTCTTATATTATGGAGACATTTTAAAATATTCCAGTATTATTCACTGCAAATTAACATAACTATTTATATTGATAGATTCTATGAGAAAATTTACTTACAAATATAAATGAGTTGAAAATACCGGTGGGCAATGTTTCTAGTGATTTCAATTTAAAGATAGTAAGACTTTAATGTTAACCCTCATTTTCAGCAATATGCCCACCATATGCCCAGAGATGATTTTCTTTATCTTATAACTTTTAAGGCAGAAAAAAGAGAGAGAAAAGTAAAGAAAGGGAATATTTCTTGATTGTCCATGGCATGTGACATAATCAGCATCTAACTAACTCTTAATGGTGATGCTACAAGGTAGTTATTATCATTCCCACCTGAAAAATGATGAATTTGAGATTCAGAAAATATTATATAACCTTGTTCAAGATTACACAGCTTCTAAGGGACACAATCTGGATTCACACTCAGAATTACTGGTCTCCAATGTCAATATTCTGTTGTACCTGACGGCCCTAAAAGGCCTTGTAATCCTGTTTACTAGGTTCTTATGTTACACAGAGGAGTGGCAAACTGAGAGGAGAGAGAGAGAGAGAGAGAGAGAGAGAGGGGGGGGGGGGGGGGGGAGGGGGGGAGAGAGAGAGAGAGAGAGACAGATACATACAGTAAAGAAATTTATGGGATCCAAGGGAATTTTTTAGTTATTCTTCCAGGACAGTTGGACAGGGAGAGACAGTATTCTCTCATGGACAGGAGAAATCTATGAAATATTAGAATAAATATCAAATAAAATATTAAAATAAATCTATGAAATATTAGAATAATATATTAATAAATTTTGCCAGTTATGCCAGGCAAGGCAATTATAGGAGGTTATTGGATTTTCTCTTTTAATTGGCTGTTCATTAAGATTTTTTAAACTTTTGTAAACTTTAAACTTTGGTAATATATGCTAGTTTTGTAAAGCTAATATTAGACCTTACAAAAGCTAAAGACAAAATTAAACCATCCCTATGGATAAATATAAGAACAGATTCTGAAAATATTCAGATTTTTTTAGGTTGGGAATCTCTCTGAGAATTAGAAAGCACTGTGGGCACCTGCTCATATTAAATACATATGCATTTTTCATAAAAATTTCCATACATTTCAGAGGCTGCACCTAACTCTCTCTGACAATAAATCCAAAGAGGCAAGCACTCTTGACTAACAGCAGGGAAGAAAGTTAACTGGTCTCTTAGGAAAAGTGACTAGACCCTTGGCAGCATGGACCCTTTTAATAGATCTGCCTTTGTGAACTAAATTCTGTTCCTTTCTTTTCAGTATTTCTTCTTCGATACCATATGATCTTTTGCATTTATTTTAAAGCTTTAAACATAACTGGAATAACATTACTCAAAGGCAGGATCATTAGATGTTAACTAGTTCTTAAGACTCCCAAACTGCACAGTATTGTTCCTGTATCATAGATGCTATAACTTTAAGTTCCTTATGTTATAGTTCATACACTTTTCCTATATATCTCTCCTGGGCATCTCAGCCTCTAGGCAAGGTTTATTAATGGGCTTGTATACCATGCATTTGTACTCTCATCAGAGTGCAATTCTTGTCAATCGCATGACAATTTGCTCCTAGAATATTTGAAATCTCTCTTATACAACTGTTTCTCTTCCTTAACCTTTGTTTTTCTTTTAATAGTTTTAGTGAGAAGCAAAAGAGACTTCAAAGAAAGAACTTTGTGTGTATCTGTGTGTGCATGTTACAATACGGATTCATTTGATCATGTTTTTAATTTTAATTAAAATCTGAAAAGTAAAGTTATTATCTTTTCTTTGTTCTAATTTAGTATAGAGTGGATGCTCTGTGGCATTATTCTTAAGGAGCTTCATCTCAGGAATTATTTAAGCATCCTATGAACATTGTCTGAAACGTGCTTCCTCCTTGCAAGCCTCCGTGGCAATTCCTGAACATACCTTTTGTTCCGCTGTCATGGTTAGACTTTGCAATCGGCCAGTCATATTCCCTAAACTCTTTTCAAAAGCTGCTACAAGGTGAGCCTGTGAACATAATGGAAGAAACACCGTTAAAATGTCAGGATCTCATGTGGATAGATGAAAACCCTTCATTTTACAAAACGCTTATTTTCAGATGTTCTCACTCTTTAAATACTAGGACTGTCATGGTTAGCTCACAATGGTGATTCTCCTTTTACATAAATCTTCATTTTATCTTTTTCATCTCTAAACTTTGGCTTCTTAAAAATCAGTGTACCAGTCTCTTGACATTTAATATGAGTTCAATTTCTGAAAGTGGATGATATTTTGCAAATAATCACACCTTCTGGCTTACACATCGTGCAGGGATTTGACACCCAAAATACTGAATAAAGTTCTGAGCTGCCAAGTTTTTAGAAAGAAAGCCCAAAAGGAGGTCACTGAAATAGGCAATGGACAAATGTTCCTCATTTTTAGACTTCCATGATGACCTTTGAAGATATTGTTAGCTCCTCTATTGTAACGATGCTCTCCTTCAACTATCAGACAGCTGCTGACAGCTATAACATTATCTTTCCTCTTTTTCTACTTACAAAGAATTGAATCGAAGAGTCGTCTTCACTTTCCAAACTCTTTAATAAAAGAGCTTTTCTTTCTCCTTTTTATTCCCTTCAACTAAGGAAGCACAGGTAGGCCATCCAGAAATAATAGTCACTGATATCTTATTTAGCATTAAGCTTTTGAGGATGGTGGTTTTATTTTAAATCTCAGAGAATTATACATATTGTAGTAGATAACATAACTCCTATGATTAAGAAGAATTTGGCAGTCTTACTGCAGCCCCAGATTGACATACCATTATGCAATAGTTCCAACCCAGAATACTTAGCATGAAGAGGGGGTCAGTCTCTCATCAGGCTTCAGGCCCATTATCTCAAACTGATAGATTTATACTACACCCCCAGAAGGATCTAAAAGTTGAATATTTTATAACCCAAGTCTATAAAAAACTACATATGGGCAAAACTCGGTAATCCTTGGCAAAAGATTGTTTTTCTAAAGGATGAAAATAAGAAGACTCCGATAGCATACATCCCTCTATAGCTGGAGCTGAGGAACCTACTCTAACATACATCATAAGAGTCCTAAGAATCAGGAATCTGGAATTTTATTCCATTATTCATAATATAATATCCAAGTCCCTTCCATCAGCATCAAATGCAAAGATGTCTTCGTTCCTAGCTCTGAACTCATTTTGGGCTGGTTTTCTTTCCCTAACATTACAATAGGGGAGAAAAACAATCTGAAGGAATACTTCTAAATTTCAATCCATCAGAATCACTCTATTCTCTAGTTCCACTATCGTCCACCCTTCCTTCCACCTTCTCTCTTTCTTCCTCACTTCCCCTCCCTTCTTTCCTTCTCACTCCCTGTCTCTGTTTCTCCCCCGACACATGGATCTATACTTCACTCACACACACACACACACACACACACACACACGCCAGAAACAAAAATAAAAACAAAAACCAACCATGGAGAATTATACACCAAAGTTTAGTTAACAGAGTTAATTGGACAAATGAGACTCTAAAAAAGGAATCTTTCTTTGCAGTTTAAAATATTTCCAATGACATGGAATGGTAGTTTTTGTGTGCTCTGAAATTAGCATAAGGTTATGTTATATTTTTGCTTACATTTTAACTTTTTTTAATTGTGAAAAATGATTCCATAAAAATGAACCAAAAAAAATGTACAGTTTGCTGATTTAATCAGATTCTCATCAACCAAATCAAGGAAAGGGCGTTCAAGACCCTAGACACACGTTTTGCTCCTTCCCCTTTGTGGGTCCCTCTGCTTTGCCAAAGGCAATGGCTATTTTAACGTCTATGTTAATTATTTTCTTGCTTTGCTTGGCAAAGTTTACACCTAAGTTTTCCTTCTTAAGAGCTATGTTTTTGTCTTCTTAAACACTATAGGATTGTAAACCCTTGAATGTATACAATTGAAGAAAACGACTTTTCTCTTTGTTCATATTTTACTGATTTAATAGGAACTGAAAATATGGCAAAGAAATCAGGATTGTAAAAAAAACTGCCAGCTACATCAATGTTTATAGCAGCACAATTCACAATAGCTAAGCTATAAAGCCTACATAGGTGCAATTCAACAGATGACTGGATAAAGAAATTGCAGTATATGTTCAAAGGAATATTACTTTGCCATAAAGAAGAATGACTTTATGACATTCTTGGTAAATGGATGGATCTGGAGACTATCATCCTAAGTGAAATAAGCCAATCCCAAAAAACTAAAGGTCAAATATCTTCTCTGATATGTGGAAGCTAACCCACAATAAGGAGGGAGGATTAGAAGTTCAGTGGAGTAGACAATGGGGAATGAAGGGAAGGGAGGATGGATGGAAAAAGAAAAGATGGTGGAGTGAATCTGACATAGCTCTCCTATATACATATATGAATATACCACATGATGAAGCTCACCATCATGTACATCCACAAGAAATTAATAAAAAAAAACTATTAGTTAAATGGCAGAAAGATCAATAAAGAGAGAAGAAGCAAGTTGTGGGGAAAGGATAAGGGAAAGAGTGGTACTGGGGTCTGAACTAGAACAAGACATATTCCATGTGTGTATAATTATGTCAAAATGGATTCTACTGTCATGTATAACTAAAAAGAAACAATAAAAATAAACAATATGCTATATAAGTCATATTGTTTAAATTTTGTAGATATAAGGGCAAAATATTTACCATTAGAATATCAGTTTCTAATTTTTGTAGAATTGCTTTCACTAATTGTTCACAAAAAACCCCTTATCACTGGATATTAAAGAACTGGTTAACTTAAGTCATGCTATTTTTATTGAAAGGAATGCTAAAATTATATTAGTGAAACATTGTTTTATATTTATGTCACCTTAGCTTAATTTGTCAGATTAACTTTGTTACTTTGGAAGTAACAACTGTTCCATTTCTCACCAGCTGTGGTAAATAGTAAAAGAATAAAACAGGTAAATGAGAGGATTTTTTCCTACCAATAATGATCTTTATCACTTTAATGAGAAGAAACTAGAAAGCAAAGCTGACTGAACTGTAGGATAATGTGGCTAAAACACCTTCATAGAATGACTTTTTCAAAAATGTTTGATTTTCAGGGATTTTCATCATAATTTACTTGGCTCTAAACTTTGCTTTTTCGCAGCTGCATCATTTTCAAGTCAGGGTAAATTGTATGAATATGGTGATGAACATTCCCTGAGTTGGGTTAGATGAAATCTGTCAAGGCAAAAAAATAGATGAGACTATTCGCTAATACATACAGGATCACACAATAGAAGCCGAACAGATATTCAAAGGAAATTATTGTGATGATAAACAGTGAGATGAAATACATAATACTTACACTGCATTTGTTCACACATAAAGAAGTGACATTTCATCAGCCAAATAAAAAATACTCCATCCATAAATTTCTATCAGGATATATTAATATACACACATATATACAGATACATAAGAACTTGCATTTGAAAATTAATAACTGTACCAAGGCTGGACACGGTGGCACATGCCTGTAATCCCAGTGGCTCAGGAGGCTGAGACAGGAGGATCACAAGTTTGAGGCCTCAGCAATTTAGTGAGACCCTAAGCAACTTAGTGAGACCCTGTCTCAAAATAAAAAATAAAAAAAGGGGTAGGGATACAGTTCAGTGGTAAGGCACTCCTGGGTTAAAACTAGTACTACTACTACTACTACTAATAATAATAATAATAAAATAATTGAACCAAGAATGATCTGAAACATAAATAAGATTTAACATTTCTTTTTGTCTATACAGAATTGTCCCTTATGTCTTCATTACTGTTAACATTTGCAAAATATTTTTCAGTTAGAAGAACTGCAGAAAAGCAAGAGGCACTGTCAGATCATATAAAAATATTAAATAGAGCAAATAAGTGGGACACACTCTCAAAGAAAATAATACCCAAGAGGATTTGGTTAAAAGACTTATTTGCTGAAAAGCAAAAAAAAAAAAAAAAAAAAAGAAAGAAAAAAGTACCCCTGGTTTTGTTACATATTCATTCAGTAATGTCTTTGAAAAATCGAAGTAATAACTAGTCTGAGTTCCCATTTCCAAATTATCTAATGGCTAAGATTTAGAAAGAAAATCTACTGGAAAGCAAACAAATATATCCACCTGCCTCAGCTGCAAGCAGGTGTGGGCGAGAGGCCTGGAAAACCTGGGTAGTGGTGTGATGAGCCCACGTGCATGTGCAGCGTGAGGCTCCTGTTTTCCTCTGTTTATTGGGGAGCAGGTATTGACCCAGAGATGGTCAGGCAACAGCATTTGCCAATACATCCTCCCTCCCTCTTTTCCGAAGATCTACCAGTAGAATCAGCTTTATATACCAGTCTCTGGTGGTTTTAAGCAGCTCTTTGCAGAGCAACTGGAGGAGAGAAACCTTACTGGTTCGGAGGCTCTGCTCTGCCAAAGAAGAAGTGAGCTGACTGATCACCTTTTGACCTGCCACTAGTCCTTTTAGCAAAGAGAGAGAAAAGCATCTCAGCAGAGAAGTACATTTCAAATTTAAAAATTAGAACACATTCTTATGTGGACTTCATATAAACATAGTCATACTGGGTTTAAGCTTGGGACATATCAATTACAAAAATATGCCCAATTAAGGAAAAATCATTAAGTCCTAACAAAGTATTCATGTACTGAATAAAAACGAATACCCAGATACTTAGAATAATTATTAAATTGAAAAAAGACATGGTTAATGATATCTCCCACACAACCAAACTCACTGAAATCTGTCCTTAGAAATTAGACTGACTGTATTTCTAAAAAAACCAAATCTTACCACGTTCCTATTTAACCAAGATATAAAGTTTACTTCTAATCTGAACAAATTAGTAAATAAAGACTTGTTCAGGTAACTCAACGGGTAGAGTATCAGATTCTTAAAGACATATCTCTACCTCCAAATAGAAATTGTAAATTAATGAAATAAAATCCTAGAGCTAGGGCTATAGTTCAATGGTAAAAGCACTTGTTTAGCATGTGTAAGAACCTGGATTCAAACTTCAACATCGTAAAAACAAAAACAAAACAAAAAAATACCACTTGATTTACCATGAAGAAATCATACAAGATTATTTTATTCAGTCCCTATGATTAATTTACTTTTGGTATGTGTATGTTAAAATATGTGTATATAATACATACATCAACAGACTAATTAACTCAGATTAAATGAAAAAATACTCTGAATGAAATTTAAACAGTATTCCTTTGAACTGAAGAAAAATCAAGTATTAACTAAATTCTTTGATGGTTCATGTGGTCTGGGAAATCTAAAGTGACATCATAAGTCAAATGTTAAAATGAATAAATGAGTTCAGATGATTTGTAGTTTATATGTGCCTTGTGAGTCATTCAAATTCTGGAATGTGTAAAAGATAATTATTCCCCTAAAAACACATGTACATAAATGACTCCATCACTTGCAGTTCTAATGATACTATTAAAAATGTTCAAAACAGTAGTATCATTAAAATTGTTTTACAATCATACACATGCCTATTTACATGTCATCAATATTGAGTATAAAATTGAATAATGATAAACTGTTTTGTTAACAATGTAGAAGATGGTGAGCATCTTCACAACCTGAACCCTTTGATTCCCATATTTTAATAATGTCAGCAAATAATTTTTTTTGATGGTGCAAAGCTTTAACAATCCATATCACAACCAAACAAATGAGTAGTAATTGGTAGAATAAGATTAAAAGTCCTAGGAAATTAAAAACTAGGTAACTGTATAAACAAATTCCAAAAATGTAGATCTTTGGGTACTTAACTGTTTAAATTTGAAATAGATGTGCATTCACAAGAAGTTGCCAAGATGGTACAGTGATCTCTTCTCTACCCTTCACCCAGTTTCCCCAAATGGTTACATCTCACATAATTTTAAAATCATGAAACCCATATTGGTATAAATGCTGATTCACACACTTGAATTCAAAAAATCGCAACCCCAATTAAAGCACAAAATTATTCCATCACCACAAAGATCTCCTTGCTATCTCCCTCTCTCAACCTTGGCAATCACTAACATCTTCTCCATTTCTATAATTGTCATTTCTGGAATTTTATATAAATGGAATCATACAGTATGCAACTGCAACATTTTGAAATTTTTTTTTTCCACTCATTATGTCCTTGAGAGCCAACCAAATGTTACCTGTATCAATGGTTCATTTCTGTGGATTGCTGAGTAGTATTCTATGCTAAGGTTGTATCAGTTTTTCTACTGATCAATTAAAGGATAATTTCATTTGTTCCCTATTTTTTTTTTGCTATTAAAAATAAAGTTGCTTTGTACATGTACAGCTTTTTGTGTCTATTTGAAGTAGTGTGAGAAGATTCCTAAGTATATTACAATGTTTAAAAAGGGGGCATAATAATAAGATATTAATTAGGCTCCTATCTGTGTGCACAAATTATTATAGCTATAACTTGGGGGAAACTGAAAGTATTTGGGAATTTTTTTAAGACCGGTACTTTTATATATATATATATGTTTTAGTTGTAGATGGATACAATACCTTTATTTCATTTATTTATTTTAATGTAGTACTGAGGATTGAACCCAGCACCTCACACATGCTAGGTGACAGCTCCACCACTGAGCCACAACTCCAGCCCCGAGACTAGTACTTTTTCAGCTAGCTTGAAGTCGAGCATAAAATCATCCTTTGGTACTGCTTCCTCTAATTCTGTTCCTTATTTTTATTTTTTTCATTATTATCCCCCTAGAGAGATATTATAGATTTTTTTCTCTACTTGCTCACTTCTGTCATGACATTTTAACAGCACAGGTGTTCTAGGTATCCATCCATTTATATACCATAAGTATATCTGTGTTTTACACATGAAGAGAGTGAGAATTTTTCAATCCTAAGAACCACATTTCCCTTTTTGGTGGTGAATGCCCATCAGAGAATGTGTCCTCCAAGGTCATGAAAACTCATCAGTAAAAATGGTGTGATGTGAACAAGTACAGAGTGGGTAGGTAGCCAGTGGCTGGCACCTTTCTAATGGTTTTGTTCCTTTTCCAAACCATGACCCAGAAGAATTGGCCATCACAACTGTTTCTCCATTTTAGAATGTGGTTCCCACCGTGTGCACATGTTTTGGTAAATGCATGTTGTATGTGTGTACACAGGGGGAAAAACTTAAAAATGATTAAATGATACATGAGAAACCAATAACCACAGTGAGAATGGCATCTCAGAGGGAAACTGAACACACATTTCTCACAAAGTGCTCTTTTAGTTTCATTTTTTTCCTTTTAATAATGTGTATATATTACTTTTTAAATGGAAGACTCTCAGTTTATATTTCATTATGTTTTGCAGCCATAGCATTCCAATATCTGAATTCAATGCTGAGGCCCACCAAGAAACATTTATGAAATACCATAAGGCCCTGAGTATTTGCTTGTGATGGCTGCAAGTGTTTTGACAATCTAATGGACAGGGCCAGTCACTGTCCTTCCTCACTGCAGTGAACAAAAGCTCTGGGTGATTCTGGCATTTACATGTACAAATTCAGTAACCTACATAGGAATGTTTGATACCACTATCATGTAACCTATAATATAAAGCTTACAGTTGCCTTGGAACTATCTCTTTAAGAGTTACTCTTAAAAACAAAATATCGTTTAAATTATACACTTATCTTCTAGTAATGTCTAAACAGTTCTCTAAAAATCTGCTTTTATTATTTAGAAATCCCCCAACACCACCAATAAAAAAAAATTTGAGTCCCAAAATTCACGATTCTCCAGAAATTGAAAAAATAAATTCAATTCATATATCATGCTAAAATGAATACACTGTGATTGAAATGACATTTCCTTTAGAATTTATTTTACAAAAATAATTTCTATCCTCAAAATGTTTTTTATTAAAGCACCTGCTGGAATTTGATGTCATGCTTTGTTAAGGAAACAGAAAGTCTCCATGGATGGGGCAGAGGTGGGGGGATGAGGCAGAGAGCAGCTCAGAGCTCCAGAGCAGAAATGAGCAAACTAATGTGGAGAGAGGGTGGCAGGACATATGGCAAAATGGCAGGAGCTCCCCTACCCCTCTCTGTTGTTCCCAACACTACCATTCCCTAGGACTGGGCACAATGCCATATCTTCCCCTTTATTATTCTGCGGCTACTCTGAGCACATGGAAATACATTCAATAAATGTTAATATAATTGATGGTCTTCACTGTCATCATTTTTGCCATTCTAAGCTGCTTAGCTGCCAGTAGAAATGTATCCTTTTGTACCACCATGAGAAGGCTGCCAAGGTTTTTCAAGACAACTATATCTCATGTGCAATGTAGCTCAGCTATCCATCTTTAGATCTAATTTTTTTTAATTAATTGGATGCTTAACTAATTGTTCGATAAATGCAACTGAAGGGGGCAGGGAATAGGAATATTGTATCTTCCTAAGTCAAACACTAACAACCCTTAGTATATTAAGGCTTGAAAGGAACCTATGAATGGGGAGTAACAAAAATATGAAACAAGAAGTGACCTTTACAACTGATACCACTGTTAGAAATCTTATGGGGAACAAAAAGCCATTTTAATCACATTGGGAATCCCCCCCTCTATGTAAATTTACATTTTATTACTTTGTGGGCAGAAAAAATTTAATTTTATATGAGTCCCACTATTCAGTACTTTGCATCTGTGTGATTTTTGGATGCTGAAAATTTGCAAGTGTGTTAGCAGACCTACTCCATTTTGTAATATACAATTCTGAGGTGATATATTTAAAAATCAAAAGTGACTTACATTTGCTGAAAGTTGAGATGTCAGGGTAGCAACTTTTTCTTGAGATGCAACCAGCTCTCTCCGTAGTTTATGAATTTGCTAAATGGAACAAAAAATATTTCAATGTGTTAGTGGATTGTTACTTAAAACTACAAATTCTATCCAAGGAGGCAAATACTATATTAACTCATTTAACCACAACTGTATTAGTACTAATTCCTAAAACTATGAACACCATCTATCCAATAACTATAAAATGTCAGGAGCAAACTGGGACTCAAATATGCAATCAAAGGATGTTTACTTCGTCTACTTGCAACCCTGCGGGACTCAAGATGCAATTTACTTTCTCCATGGATTTTTTTCCCCTCCTGAAAAATTTTGGTAATAAAATTCAGGTAGAAATTTTTAAAATTAAATATGCATCTTTTTTTTAGCAAAAGATAATGTTATTTTTCTGAAAATCTCAGGGATTTTTCTCTGTGCATACATTTTTATCTTCTAAGGGTTGGCAAGTTCTCAAAAGCTGTAGAATAGTAGTACCTGAAAGTTGGGTTTAATTCAACATTTAATGAGTCCATATTTAAAAATAATTTTATGGGATGGAGTTGTAATGATTTACAGAGAAGCCTTCTAAAATATTTACTATATTGTCTTTTATTAACTGAGGTATTATTAACTCCTAGCAGAAATGCTTTATAGATATCTGCGGCTTCAAAATAAGAGGGAAATGACTAGTATCACACAACTAAATAGATGAACCAACAAACTAATTATTCTAAAATGTTTTCCTTTTTATTTAACAATTTAACAAAACTGATATAAAGGATGATGGAAAGCATATCATATCATATTTAAAATCTTTATAAGTATTTTTGGCAGTCTAATCAAAATATCTCATGTTGCCAGGAAATTTGAAGAGTGATTAGTAAGGCAAAACAATTACGACCATATAAAATAGGTCCTGAAAGTCTATTTCTGGACTCAAGAGAATTCAGCTACTTAAGATGCCAAACATACTACTGTGATGTTTCTCATTTCTTAAAATATAAGTTCCCTATTGTTAGAACTGGGCTTTTGGAATGCTGTCTCAGTTTGAAAGAACATTCTGGACATTGTTCATTAAGAGTCCTTCTCCCTCCCCAACCCCCCCCCCCCCCCCCCCCCCCCCCCCCCCCCCCCCCCCCCCCGCAACAAAAGATTTTGTGGAAAAGAAATAGTGGTCAATATTTAAAGTCTCTAAACAAGGAAAAAAAGAAAGAAAGAGAGAGGGGAAGGAGGGAGATCTCTTCACTGGAAGCAGAGACTCCATTTTATTTGCATTTTTACGAAAGAGCTATACCCCAGATGTACATGATGATGACTATAAATAGTTTCAGAAAGCAGACATCTCATATTTTCAGATCAGTACAGACTGAAAGAGGCTTTCTCAAATTAATTGTCTATTATTATTATATGATTCTAGTTCCTTTAAGATATAACTCAGGAAACTGTAATTTAAATGATATTTTCCCAAACATATGACCCACTATAGTACATAAGCAATAAATACAGAACGGCCTAACCAGCACCAAGGCAAATAGATGTAGCATTTCTATATCCCAGTAGCTATGTAATAATAACATTAGAAACACTGCCATGTCCACATGATGGAAAGAAAACAGTTTAGGTTTTTAAACATCAAATTCACTCTTTGGTCTAGAGATTGTAAAAATGAATTGTATAATCAATAATTTTTCAGTATTTCAGACATAGCAAAATGCTTCTTTAAGAGTTCATGAAACAGGACTTCAAAGGAAAGACATTCCATTACAAAGCCTGATGCCCAGACATTTATTTTATTTTCTCTGTGGTGTGATTGCTTCAATGCAAACCTATCAAAAAATGATCACCTCACCTTGAATAAAATCCTAATTAAACTCTTTCTGCTCTCATTCATACAGAAGTTAAGAAAAAGAATGTTTTCCCAGGTTGCACTTTGATTTGTACATGACTGCAACCAAGTATGCATTTGTGAAATTTGATTAGAATAATATACTACCCTAGATATAAAATAGTGAAAAGAGGGAGTATAGTCAATGCACAAAATAGTTAGGCTGGGATGTAAGTGTCTTTTTCAGGGAGGACTGCTGCCTCAGACTCAGTGTGTCCATTAATCCATGCAGATGGTCTCACAGTTTGGGGTTAGGAGAGAGACTAATTAAATATTTTACAAATTCATTCATTCATCCATGATTTAATGAGCATATACTAATAAAGACAACTTATTGGTTAATGATTTAAGATTAAATCTAGAACATGAGAGGGAAATCTGCTTCTAAACATTTCATTTTATTTCTTTTTAAGAGGTAATAGCTAAGACCATTCCCAGCTAGCTGGCTGGCTTTTCTGTGTCTCTGTAGTTATGTTATTGTATCACAGAGCCCTCTAGTGGCAACAACACTCATTGCATCATAAACGGAAATGATCAAACACAAAAATGTTTTTTAAGTTTTTTTTTTTTTTTTACCTCTGAATGAGCCTTTTCTTCAGCCTGCAAAAGATATAAGGAAAATAAATTTAACAATAAAGTTAGTGTCAATTCATTTCACATTAACAAATGAATAAAAAAATTACTGTGCATTTAAAATGTCTTTAGGATCTAATGTAAGATCAAGCAAAATACATTCAATGATTCAATTAATGAGTAAGAATAGGATACTATAAGACTTAAAATGAATATTCCTTTATATGTAATATGAGTTATTTAAAAATATAGATAATTTAACCCTTGGATTTGTAATATGACTTGAAAGAAAGGATAGAATTAAAAAATGCTAAGATTTAGACCAAAAACAACAGAAATGAAATAATTACAAAATTATACTCTAAAAAAGATAGGCACAGGGGCTGGGGTTGTAGCTCAGCAGTAGAGCTCTTGCCTAGCATGTGCGAGGCTCTGGGTTTGATCCTCAGCACCACACACACACACACACACACACACACACACACACAATAAATAAATAAAATAAAGGTATTATGTTCAACTACAATTAAAAAAATATTTAAAAAAGATGGGTACATATAAAAATGTAATATTGTTTTTTTCATACATATTTTAAAAAATGGACTCCATTAAATTATACAGAGCCTTAGAAAAGATTTAGGAGTAAGAATTTTGTTCTGTGACTTACAGATCATAAAGAATATCAAATAATGTTGGGGGAAAATGCTGACCTCTACTGATAATCACAGCAAATAAAGTTTATTCATTTCTATTTTTTATTTTCCCTAATAATCCTTAATTAAACTTATTGGGCTGCAAGTCATCAAGACACTAAAGCATTCAGTGATAAGGTGGCAATAAAAGTATCTTTGGTTGTGCTTCTGTAGGAACTTGCAGGGTGTTTTTGATCTCAGTACAGAAAATTCCTAGCTCTGCTTTTTTCCCCCCTTCATGCTGGGCTGCAAAATACCAGAAAATGAGTTATGTGCACCATTACATTGGTAAAGCTTTCTCAATCTAGAAAAGGCTGGAGAATGCATAATATCCCTGAACAGTAAAGTCTGTTCATTACTGTAAGCAGAAACAAAGCTGAAAAATAATTTCTTTGCTACTATTTCTATTTTTGGGTATTTCCTGATTAATCAATACAAAAACATCTTAAGTTTTATTATTCTTTTCCTCCAGATAATAAAAATAAACAAAACAATAACTCTCAGGATACATTTCATGCATAAAGATCTCTTTTAACCTGAGTTTTGTCTTTCCTGCATTTTCTCCACCTTTAAAAAATGTCAAATGATAAAATGATAAAGTGGCTAACCTTTATCATAATAGAATCATAATAGCCTTTATAAGAAAACACTGTTTGAAAAGCAACAGTGATATAAACCTTCGTTTTACATCCCATGTTCAGCATTTTAAGTGAAGATAGTTTTTAATTCTAATAATTTCAAGGCTTCATATACAGTTTGGTTTTGGAATTAAAATTAAGCAAGGAATCTTAATTTAAGTGTTTCATTGCTTTAAGCACACAGCACAATTAAAACTGACTTAATTTTCCCTAGTATGTTATATGTTTCTTGTTAGTTTGTTTATATTGTTTTTAGGTTTGTTAGAATTATATAAAACTGGTAAAGGTTTGTAACTATCTCATGTATTGGAAGAAATAGATATATTTCATTTAAAATATAAGAAACAGATTGCAGAATTACATCGGTTACACATCCACGTTTTTGTATACGGGGTAAAAATGGGAGTTCATAACCCACTTAAATCAAATGTATGAAATATGATATGTCAAGAGCTATGTAAAAAAATAAAATATAAGAAACATGCTCATCACATTTTTTATTAAAATACCCCAAAGTTGCATATGTTAAAAGTAAGCATAACCATTATTAATTCTACATACACTGCAGGGCATGACTTTTCTCACTATTGATTTCTCAAAGCTATCATTTTTGTTAATCCTTGCCCTCTTTCACACTCTATGGTTATTAATAGTAGGTAGGTATGACCCTCAAGTTGAAGGTATGAGCTAGAATCTTAATATTATATTTTTTTCAGTGGTTTAGGAGTGGGATTAATGATACCATGATGGAATTTGATTACTTACCACATTTTACTGATGGTTCTGATGCAAGACTAATGTCCTTAAGGATGGTAAACAACATAAAACACCTTGCCTAAATTAAAATATATCTGTTGACTCTTTATTCTGTAAGCCATTATATGGCCATTTATTTATCCATTCAAACTTATGGAAACCACTTCAGTGTTATCCATGTGTTAGGTAATAGGCTAAGGAGCTATTCAAGGAATCAAACAGGATCCTTGTTCTCATGAAAAAAGTATAAATTTGAATCCAAGTGCAGAATGGCTCCAGTAAAAATTTAATATACAGTAAATAAAAAAACTAACAGCTCCAATAAAGATCTAATATAATATCAATCAAAAATCATCTTCTCATGGATCATGAATTTAAATACCTAACAGGATGGATGGATAGCTGTTTGTATGTGTGTATGTATATATACTACACACATACATACATAATAGAGAATGAAAAGAGGTTCTAAATATTTTTTAAGAAATAACACAACCTTCCTAGGTTATCTTTTATTTTCCACTTTCTAATAGAGATATAGAAAGTGAGGAGCATTTCTCTCCTATGAATAATGCAACAGCACAATGACAACTAGCAACCCAAACTTAGCTTGAGTGTCAAGAAGAGGAGGTATTGGAGGTTGTGGCTTGCCTGAGAGCATGTGCCACCACCCAAGGTGACTACTAGAAACATGGAGGATGTGTTGCTAGATATTCCAGTTATTTGGAAAAGGATTTTCAAGTGTTGATTTTAGGGGGAATGTTCCAGATTTCACAGTGCTGGCTTAGATTTAAAAACAAACATAAACTCTAAAGTTTCCAAACTCCTTGGCAGATCAGATTGGGTCTGTGATTTCTAAACAGTTTGCAGAAATCCCATGGGACAGATGGAGTAGATTTGGCTGATGTTTTCAAATTTTATTTTATAGGTGTAATCCAAAGAAATTGGGCAACTTGCCTGATGCCACATAGTAATTACTGATCGAACCAGATAAGAAGACAAATCAACTAAATCTTTATCCAAAAACTTATGAAGGTGTGAATAATAGTAATTAATTGCTGTTTCATTTCATGGTTTGAAAAACACTTTCACAGATATTTTAATGCCAGTTTAATCCTAGTGCATGATTGTGGGGAATGGAAAGAGAGTGACTCCTCCTTATTCTGCCTCCCCAACCTGAATTGCCCTCAAATATGCATTTTTTGAATTATTTCACTATAGTCATTTTAAATATGTAGGTTCCATCATTTCTAATACATTTTAAATTTCCATCATTTCCAATACAGCTAATTTAATAACTGACTAATAATATCACTTTGTCTCATAGCTTGATCATCTAACTCATTCATTTTATGCTAAACACAGGGTCTACTTCAGTTCTGAATGTTCAAAACACTTTAACATTTAAGCTTAAAGAAAATAAGTGAAAAAATCCCTATTGTCTTTAATACTTAAATGTTAAGTATAGGCTCTTTATTTTAACGTCTGTTCCTGTTCACATTATATTTTTAATACAGTACTTTTCACCAATACTTCCTAATTGTTTTCATGATTTAGACATCCTACTCCTATTTTCCTATATTTAAAAACATTTATTATTTTTCATTTTTGTTCAACATATATTAATTTTACACATTAATTGGTTTCAGTGTGATATTTCCACACATAAATACACTGTGCACTGGTCCAACCAACCTCCCTTTATTCATCCTTCTTTAATTTTTAAATTTATCCCCTTTGCTCCCTATAAACTTGAACTATTTAATCTCAGTCACCAGGTTTATGTACCTATTTAAATTTAGATTAATTAAAATAAACAATACAGTTCCTCAGTCACACACACTAGACACATTTAAAATAACCAATAGCAACCTACTGCTAGTATTAGCCAGTGCAGATGGGGACATTTTTAATATCCCAGAAAATTTTAGTGGACTCTGGTCTAATTAGTGGAATGTGGACTAATGCATTATCTCTTGTTCCTTAAACACATGCTCTTTTTCTTCTTTCTCAGCTTCATAAAGGAAGTTTTATCCACATATTGTTATTGCATTTATTTAAATTATGATTACAACTATGCTCCATCTTTTGCTGTTATATAGAGATTGAAATTATAGTGATTTAAGTCATAATACATATCATAAATGAGTAACAATATTAGATCAACAGGAGAAATACAATCTTAACATATTTAATGTGTTTTTAAAATATACTTTTACATTTATTATTTCTTTATTCATTAGTCTACATATCTTCCTTTATAGAACTTAATGGCAATTTTAATCATTAAAAGGAGAAATAAGAAAAATAATGTCTACATTGATGGATGATTGTGAATGTCTTTTTTTATTTTTATTTTTATTTTTTTTTCACATCTTTTTAAAAAAATTTTTTATTGTTGGCTGTTCAAAACATTACATAGTTCTTGATATATCATATTTCACACTTTGATTCAAGTAGGTTATGAGCTCCCATTTTTACCCCATATACAGATTGCAGAATCACATCAGTTACACATCCATTGATTTACATATTGCCATACTAGTGTCTGTTGTGTTCTGCTGCCTTTCCTATCCTTTACTATCCCCCCTCCCCTCCCCTCTCCTCCCCTCTTCTCTCTCTGCCCCCTCTACTGACATTCATTTCTCCCCCTTGTATTATTTTTCCCTTTCCCCTCACTTCCTCTTGTATGTACTTTTGTATAACCCTGAGGGTCTCCTTCCATTTCCATGCAATTTCCCTTCTCTCTCCCTTTCCCTCCCACCTCTCATCCCTGTTTAATGTTAATCTTCTTCTCATGCTCTTCGACCCTACTCTGTTCTTAGTTACTCTCCTTATATCAAAGAAGACATTTGGCATTTGTTTTTTTAGGGATTGGCTAGCTTCACTTAGCATAATCTGCTCTAATGCCATCCATTTCCCTGTAAATTCTATGATTTTGTCATTTTTTAATGCAGAGTAATACTCCATTGTGTATAAATGCCACATTTTTTTTATCCATTCATCTATTGAAGGGCATCTAGGTTGGTTCCACAGTCTTGCTATTGTGAATTGTGCTGCTATGAACATGGATGTAGCAGTGTCCCTGTAGCATGCTCTTTTTAGGTCTTTAGGGAATAGACCGAGAAGGGGAATAGCTGGGTCAAATGGTGGTTCCATTCCCAGCTTTCCAAGAAATCTCCATACTGCTTTCCAAATTGGCTGCACCAATCTGCAGTCCCACCAGCAATGTACAAGTGTACCCCTTTTCCCCACATCCTCGCCAGCACTTGTTGTTGTTTGACTTCATAATGGCTGCCAATCTAACTGGAGTGAGATGGCAAAAGAAACAATAAGAGAGGTAAATAGAGAGCCTACATCCTGGGAACAAATCTTTACTCCTCACACTTCAGATAGAGCCCTAATATCCAGAGTATACAAAGAACTCAAAAAATTAGACAATAAGAGAACAAACAACCCAATCAACAAATGGGCCAAGGACCTGAACAGACACTTCTCAGAGGAGGACATACAATCAATCAACAAGTACATGAAAAAATGCTCACCATCTCTAGCAGTCAGAGAAATGCAAATCAAAACCACCCTAAGATACCATCTCACTCCAGTGAATGTCTTTTTTTAAAGCAATAAATATGCATGATTAATTTGCAAACAAAAGGCTTTAACATTTAAGCCTAATGAAAATAAGTGAAAAAATCCATATTGTCCTTAACACTTAATTGCTCAGTGGGAGTCAAAGGCTACAGACTTTTGTAAACCTTTCAACACAGGATTAAGAATTACTCATAGCACTCAAGTCTCATAGAGACTTAGGAAACTGCTTTAATATCCTGCCTGTTACCAGGGCATAAAGGAAGCTTCTTATAAAACATAACTTCCTGTAGGCTTTTTTAAAGATAAAATTATATTTAATGGACAGAAAACTCATTTTGGCAAAAGTGAACTATAATTTCACACACTGGGAAAAGAATTTGAAACACTGGCTTTCCTCTTCTAAGGAACAGTTTTTTTGGCTTGGGGCACAGTTCAAGGGGAAAGTGTGTGTTTCCCATGCAGGAGGACCTGGGTTGGATCCTTAGCAGCAAAAATATTTTTTAAAAAAATTCTTTTAAATCATACTTAAAAAAATTCTCTAGTTCTTTCAGAACAGTCTTTATAAAAAATGAACTTAAAATAAAAAAAGTTGAAAAAATATCATAGAACAATTAATTCATGAGTCAGAGAATCAAACAAAGGAAAACAAACATTATGAAAATATGATAAATCATAGTTCATGGTTTCAGGGACTCCCTGTCATACCCCAAAGGACTGTATGAAATTCAGTTTTACATCCACTCATTGATTATAATGAATCAAGTGAAAATATATACTAGTGGGTCACAGAGGGATTGATGGAGTACTTGCCAGCTTAACGGATATAGAGTGGCTTAGAGTATGCCTTTATGTGGCCACACCACTTCTGTGTAAATGTCAATCTACTTAATCATCTATGCATGGTACAGGCAGAAGCTTTTTATTCTCATTTAATACTTACTGTAGAGTAAAGAGAAGAAGTGCTGGAAACCAATGATAACGAAGAGCCATGAACTAGAGAAAACAAGAACAACAGAATTAAAATACTCATGTCTACTCATAAACCCTAGGCCTTAACTAAAAAAGTAAAGAACAGGTGGCTAGGGAAATAACATTAACAGCTAGCTGTAAGATTCTGAGAATAAGTTTGTATATGATTTGGATCTAAAATATTCCCCTATGAGTTTGTATGTTAGGCAATATAATAATGCTCAGAGATGAAAAGATGAGATTATGAGAGCTATAATTTTCAGTAGATTAAGCCCCTTAGTGCATTACTAATCTGAATGGACCACTGGGTGGTAATTGTAGGCAAGTAGGGCTTGGTTGGAGGAAGTAGGTCACTGGGGGCATGACCTTGGACTTTATCTGTCTCTGGCTCCTTCCTGCCCCAGACTCTGCTTCCTAGCTGCCATGATCTGAGAAGCTTTCCTCCATCATGCCCTTCTGCTATGATGTTCTACCTTGCCTTAGGTTCAGAGCAATGGGGTTGGCTGATTATGGACTGAATCTTTGAAACTGTGAGCCCATAAGTTATTGTCAGGCAGTTTGGTCACAGTGTGAAAAACAGACCAACATAGTCTGTAATGATTTTTTGGAAGTCAAGATGTTGAGACATGAAAAGATCCCATACTCTTCCCTAAAGTATCTCATTCACCAATTTATAGATAGAAGTGGACAAGCATGAGCATTAAAAGCATGTTTTACACAATATGAAAAGTATAAATTCTCATACAGTAAATAGAAAATCATAAAACTAAAAAAAAATTTTCATAAGCTTTTAAAATTTTTTAAAATACTTTGTGTTTATTCATTTAATTTCATTTTATCCAACAAAGATCCATTTTCAGAAATTTTCTTTATATACTTTCAGGTATATAAGCATTTTTTTTCCAAGTAGCTATTTCAATAGTCAGTTATAATAAATTTATCTATGTTTTTTAAATTTAGAATAATGGTTTTTTAAAAAATTTTAGTTATATATAAATACTTCTTATTTTAAGGTGGTATCTCAGAAAAAATAAGAATGGAAATGATATGCTGTTTTTTATTTATCAAAATGCCATCTTAAACAATCAAAGTCTACTTTTGTCTTTTGTACTTCCAATGTATTAAATCCAAAAGGTGGATAAAATTGAACTTAATATGATTTGCAAAAATCCCCTTTTTTATGATGGGATAATGTAGTTATTTCTTCTAACTTATTTCTTAAATAAACATTAGTTGAGCACACACAGTGTGACAGGCCCTTGCTAGATCTTGGAACTACAAAATGAATACGAAACAATGATAGGTGCCCCAAGATAATTAGAAAGAAAACATTAAAAATAATCACAACAGAGCAACATAAGTGTTATTACTATCAATGCTTTGGTACTATAAGAATTCATAGGAAGTGAATTAAAAATATATAAAGTGAGTCAAAAGAAGAATAAAGAACACCACCAGAATTCTAACTTGGGTAATATTATCATTCTATGAGATATACAAAATATTAGTCTTTAAATCAATTATTCTTTTTCAAAGCACATTCTTTCAACTTCTGATTCATTTATATGACTCATTTTCAAACAAAGAGTACTGGCCTGGTGTATCAGAAGGAAGATGGACAATGAGTTAGGAAATTATGCACATATTATTTATAGGTGTGTGACCTTATAGTTTATAGCTTAGTCTCTTCATCTGTTAGCATGCACACTGGGCAAGATGTTAATAAAAAACTTCTCTTCTAGTTCAATAATTCATTAATTCTAGATCACAATCAAATAATAATAATAGTTCAGTGTCCAGTGCATGAGCATCAAAAATCCATCTCACCTACTCAAGCTGGCTTTTAGCAATTCAATTAAGCTTCCTAATGCAAGGCTGGAATTTCCCAGCATAAAAACATCATTCTATTTGTAAGTGAGGCACTCTAGGACATGAACTGTATGTTAAGCAAATTGTTTTTAAAGTATTATGAAAGGTCTATATGTGACAGAATGACATATCCATTTCAGAGAAATAATGTCCTTACAGGTCAGATTACTTATAGTTCATATACTACACAGTAGAATCAGCTGATTCACCAGGGTATATATAATTCACTGTTTGCCACAGTGAACTCAGTAGTTTGGTTAATATCCTAAAAGGTAGATGTAAATATTGTTAACTGATTTAGTGCCAGCATATTAAATGTACAATGATGACCTGAAAAATATAAGACAATTCTCTTAACCGCCTAAAACTTTAGTCAGAAGATGTTTTAAATAAGAAATTCCCTGGGACAGAATTACGGAAGCAGAAATTAGGACTAATGAAGTTAAGAAATTAGCCCAATTCAAACAATAAATAAATTGATGGTTAGATGTTTAAACCTTGCTATGTTTCGAGACTGAAGTTTTCCTTTTATGCATAACTATTAAGATGAGGATGGTTGCTTTCATTCTTATCAGTTTGGATTTCTATATTTGGTTTTCTTTTAACCATAGCTGATATATTATAATATGTATCTCACATGTTTAATTTATAGATAATTTAAAAATCATTCATTAAATAAAAGAAACACATCTCTCATATTATTAAGTTTGGTTTTTGAGGTCACACAGTTTAGGAAAATATATACACTTAAATAGCTATTATGCTTATTGAGGTTTAAAAGATTTACAGGGAGTATCACATAATACATATAGCTAAAAAGACATGTTTTAGGATAGTGTGAATTTTATTGCCAATTGGTAAAAGAAAAATAAACTGTTATAAAGCAAATATAGTACAGTAGGAATTCTAAAATGAAATGGTAAAATACTAACACCAGAGGAAGTTTCTGAGAATAAGAGTCAACAACATGTGATAGTCTGTAAGATAATTATTCTGGCTTGTGTATCTTTATGGCTTGTAAACTGAGATGTCAAACAAAATATTTGCTCTAATATTTGACACATCTGGGTAACAGTCTCTAAAATTCTGCATATTTCTATAAGAGAACATTGGATTTATTGTAAATTGTCTTACAGCCAAGTATTCATCTAAACAAATTCTGGCATATATAAAAATTCATAATGTACAGAAGATCCTGCAGAATAAAACTTTCAGCTCTAGGGTTTAAGTGAGGCTTCCACTTACTCATTTACTTCTTCTTCAGGAATCTTTGTGCTGTGGGCAATGGGACAGTTTTTCCTCTGACAGTTAAGTAAAAGTCTTATCTTCATCTTCCCTATCCCTAAACTTACCTTCTTCCATGCTGTCTCTGAATGATCCTGAATGACTGATGGCCCGTGGCCTTTCCTCCAGAGAAGTGGCGCTCCCACAAAGCTGGGAGTCATCATAGAGATCAAAGGAAGAGTCCTGGGCTGGGATGCTGTTGGAGCGCATCATGCTGGGCCCAGGGAGGTTAAACTGAGACAGATTGGTTGGACTCACTGAAAAAGAAAGCATATGCAGTCTGTTACTCCAGGGCTTGACTGATGAAAACAGAAAGTTGAAAAAAAAAAGTGAGAATTCATCCCAGTTCTTAGAGAAACATGAATTTATAGGGTGTCCCTATTAAAGCAGGCCAAGAGTCTGTCTCTGAATTGCCAATCACTATCACCAGAGTCCCTCTTTTCCTCTGGAAATTTTATGGCAAGCAGTATGTCAGTTTGTCAGGCAACAGTAAACAAAACCACCAACTCACCTCTACTGTCCACACTAGAAATACAGTAACATGTTATTTTCTGCACACGGTTATGAAAAAAAAAAAGATTGTTTTTCTACAGTCTACAGGCTTCATTTTAGAGAAAAACCACCAATTTACTGGGAAAAGAAAAATAGAAAAGAAAGTAAAATATAAAAAAATATAAATTTACCAAGAAGAAATTTTAGATACTTCTAGGCAAAGGCTTTCTTTCAGTCATTCTGAGTTGTGAATTTATGTAAGTTCATGGTTGGTACTTCCATTATTATGAAAATTAGGTTATAAAGAGGATGAATAAAATAAACTTTTCCTTTATATGAAATATAATGTAATGTACATGGTATCTGTAAACCTGTCATAAAGTGAATCATAGAAAAACTATTTTCTACTGAGTCTAAGAAGAGAATACCACAATGAGACTCTCAAAAAAATCACAAACAGATTTTGTTTCCAAGGAAGTATCTTAAGTCTGTAATGTAAAAGTTTATTTCTTATAAATAAGAATTTATTTTCAATAGAAAATATTTATTTAAGAATTTATTTTCAATGGCTTGTTGCCATCTAGTGCTAGTGGTTTTCAACAATTTAGGCCAAATGAGAATCATTAATTTAAAGAAAGATGTGATTGATTTAATGTATGGGACATTTGAAATACAGTTTTGAAATATGGAATAAAATTATAGCAGACAAATTGAGAAACTTTTTTTTTTTAAAAGAAAAGCAAGTTTATTACTGATTTATGAGGAATCTTCTGAACTTCTTAAGCTATGAAGGAAACAGCTGAGTCCTCTCAGAACCTTGGAAAATGCATGCCAAAGCCTTGGAGTTGATCTGGTATTTCAGAACTTCCTATATTTTCTTCTTTCATGCAGGCTTTATACTTCTTAATATAATTAATGGCTCTCACAATAAGGTAAAATTGGAAGAGTGTTCCCGGAAGTAATTCAAGGGGTATACCTCCTGTATTCCAGGTACTGTGCTAGACATTTCATAGTCATTAACTGAATCATCACACAGACTAACCCTCTGATAGAGATAGCATGAATTAAAGTAAAAAAAAAAAAAAAACACAGGACAATGAATGAAATCTATGTGTGCATGTGAAAAACATAATAAAGAAGAAACTATGTATTTCTAAAATTTATAATATATTAGAAGGAAGAAGGAATGGAAATGGAGAAGGAGGAAGATTGAGGGAGAGAGAGGAAGAGAAAGAACAAGAGAACAGATCTATTTTCGGGTATATTCCTTTAGACATGAGTTCTAGTTCAGTATGGTCACAGTTAACAGGCACTAGGACATTCGAAATTTGAATGTTAACTTTTTTTTTTTTTTTTTGGCAGAGTGGTGTACCCTGGATTGAACTCAGGGGTACTTGACCACTGAGCCACATCCCTAGCCTATTTTTGTATTTTATTTAGAGACAGGGTCTCACTGAGTTGCATAGTGCCTCACCATTGCTGAGGCTGGCTTTGAACTCAAGATCCTCCTGTCTCAGCCTCCAGAGTCACTGGGATGAATGTTAATGTTTAAGGTACCTGGATTTGTGTAAATCACTCTATGGTGGGACTACATACATTATGAATTAACGCTTGTGAAATGAATGCTTTCAACTTATCTACAAATGCATTACTTTAATATATGTATCTAGAGGCTAGAAGGCCATTTTGTTCACAGTTTGGCTTTGTATAATTGTTACCAAAATGATTACAGAGGTATCCAAGAGAAGTGTCTTCCTTTTCTATTTTTTACATGATGGTTTTTAATTCTGAAGACATGCTATTTTTGAGAATTTTTCTATTACTGATTTTTCATTAATGCATATTAATTACACAGAATGGTGGGTTTAATTATGGTACATTCATACATGCAAAAAGCATTTTGAGCATTTTCATCCCCATTACCCATCTTAATGTCCCTCCTTCCCCATTCCATTCCTCTCCACTAATTCTCTTCCTCCAGTATTCATCTTGTTTTTTTCCCCTCCAAATTCTATATGAGAGGAAACTTGTGATAGCTTGTCTTTCTAGTTTGGGCTTATTTCACCTAACATGATCATCTCTAGTTCCATCCATTTTCCATCAAATGAATGACTCCATTGTATATATGGACCATGTTTCTTTATCCATTCATTTGTTGGTGGACACAGGTTTCCATAACTTGGCAGCATGGATGTTCAGCTCCCTCTATGGTATGCTGACTTTATTTCTATATCAAGGTAGATATATAGCTTGGATCATCACATATATCTGGATCATTTCAAAACATAATGCATTACTCATTCAAAGTGACTCATTAATGGGGCTTATAGTGGTCTTTAAAGGGCATAATTGGATTTACAAAGACTTTTGATAATGTTTCTACTGAAAATATACTCATAGTATTTAAGAATATTCATTTAAGGTAATATCATGGGAAGCCTTTCTTCATTTTGTTTTCATGCTAAATTTGAATAGAAAGATAAAATATGATATGGTCCCTGATTTCAAGAGCAGCCAATAGGGAAGGTGATTGAAAGGTAGAAAGTTTATATGCAAAATATACCAAGAAGAGTTACATAACAGAAGGCAAAAGTAACAAAGAAAAAGAGAATTTTTGTAAATGGGACAGAAAGTGGTAAAGGGATTATAGTTGTTATACTTTCTATCCACTTCAAATATCCCCATCTCAACCTTTCAGTTTCTTCATTAATAAATAAATAAAATAAAGGTAGAATAAGTGGCTTCTAAGATTCATTCAAAGCCAGAAGACACATAAAACTTCCCAAATAGGAGAAAAATAGATGTAGATGTATGTAAGGGAACAGGAGTCTATTGGCCTGTCTTAAATTGAATGTGTAGTCATAGCTTTTATTAAAATTATGTATTTATTTGTGGTGATTTGTGGAGAATAGGGACAGAAAATACCTCCAAGTACCTTTGCTAGACATTTACCAATGAGTTTTTGATATTGTTTTAAATGAGAAAAGTGATGTCATATGGATTATAATTTTAAATTAGTTTGTGAAATCTGGATGTACAACTAAGACCAGTAATTGAAGATTCGGGAAATTTTTATGTGATCTTTTAAAGTAAGTATATGAAAAATATTTCTAGATTCACACAGTTTCTGTCATTGGTGAGTTTAGAGCAGAAGCTAGAGATGTCATGAAAATTTACATATTAAATGAATGACTGAACCAGATGTGTGTCTCAATGGTGAGCTTCTGTACTTCCATAAATATAAAAGAAACAGTTCATTTGGAATGGGGTGAAGGGCATTTTCGGAGAGGGTAACAGAGGAGTGTTATAAGGTGAAGTGACCCTTGAGAGCAAAAGCACAGAATCTGCTCCGATACAAGGTGCTTAACAATTACTCTGTGTGCAAAGAAATCATCTAATATATAGAACTGGGAAGTGACAGGCTGATATCAATGCTTCTGCATGGTAACCCTTGCAGCAAGGTGAACAATGAATCTAAGCGATTCTCATCACTCATGGGCATGTCACCATTCACCAGGTTATGAGATACCTCATAATAACTGTGAACAATTCAAAATGCTGTTTCATCCCCAGACTTATTTTGTTTACATAAGTTATATCTGATATTACTTCTTGAGTGGAAGTAGATGCTGTTAAACCTAGCATGTAAGGAACTACACACAAACCATAGTTTACTTTAGCTGTAGCTCATAGTAATCTACTGACAATGACATAAATTCAGTGTTCTTAAATTTCTAATAATTTCTTATACGTGATTTTTATAGTAATATTTATAAAAACCTTTATATACTAACACATTTTTCAAAATAAGAGTATTCCAACTCTTGAATGTTAGTTATAATCATGTATATTACAGATCATTCAGAAAAGATAATGATCTCACTGAAAACAGGTGATGTCAAAAGTAGCTGCAGGAAATACTATACCTATTCAAGTTCAATAGTTAAATTTTATGTAGTTTTAAGAATTTAATAATAAAGTAACTTTAATTTATGGTTACATTTTAATAGTAACCCATATTTTTGCCAAATAAATAGAAGTTCAGGTGATCTGGAAATATCATCAAAACTTGTTATTTTCATGTTTTGAGAATTAGCTTTATTTTTTTTCTTTGTAATTTGCCAGCATAGAGAACAGGGAATACCTAATCTGAAGCCACATATGCTTATAAAATGTTAATAAGCCCTGGGGAATGCACTGACATGGATAGGAAGGTCTTCTTCCATATATCTCAATGGGTGAAAATGTTGAGGGATAGGAGAGAAGAGGCAGTAAGATCATTTTGAAATCCACTGAAACTGTCCAGGGTTAAAGTTTCAGCAAGAGTAATGCCACCAAAGAGAGAGGAATATAGTACTTTCAAATTTTTAAAAATAAAAATTATAAGTTTTGGTCTACTGAAAAGTGTACAATATGAAGGGTGGATGGTGTTGTTTTGAATAAACCTGTCGATTACACTGAGATTTTGCACTAAAGGAGTTGAAGAAGCGTGAAAAAAAGAGAGCTTACGGCAGGTGGATGTAGCTACATAGCCTAGGACATGGATGCGGTTTAATTTTAAAGCTCAAAAAGATCTGGAAGTGAAAGAAATGTTGATTGAAAGGGTAAAAATTAAAGTTGTGGATGAGGACATAGAAATTGTGTTTAGGATGAGAAAGATGTCTAAATAAAAAACTCTGTAATTACATAAAGATGAGGAGTAAATGTGGATGAAGTACATTGGGCAGGGTTTATGCTTAAAGCCTGGAACAATGATTAACATAGTCGTTTTCACTTTCAAAAGTAACCTAGTTTTTACTAAAATGATAAAACCGCATTAAGATGAGCCCTTGCAGAAAGAGAATTATAGTTGGAAAAGTATTAGGAGAATCAAGAAGGTAAGCTTGGTTTCTACAGCAATAAAAAATAAGGGACATATTTGATAAGTAGTTTTCAAAATAAGGCATTAAAGTTCTATCAAAAGGGTCTGTTATCAATCAGTAAAAGTATAATTTACATTTCATATCGTGCTTTAAATCTTTGAACACTATGTAATGAAAAGTATTCTCAAGTGTGTCATACATCAATTTTTATCACATTTGTTTAAAAATATTGGATTTAGCCGACATATTAAGTTCAATTTGGAATAAACTTATCTTTGTGCAAATATTTGACATTTTTGGTAAGACATTGATTCAAATGTCATAGTTGTACATGAGTCTCTCTAAAACCTAAACTGTGAATCTCCTTCACATTAAATTGTGCAGTTGCTATTTTGTGAATTATACCTAATTAAATGTAGACAAAGTTCAGGCATATATTGTAAGTTTTTTATTTCTTTAGAAAATAATGGAAGAAATGAATTTAACAATAATAATAATAGTGGGGAAAATGATGAATAGTCAACTAATCAAATTAATGTTAACCAATGAAAAAGTTGATAGGGGATATAAGGTACTAAGTAAGTCTATAGCATTTGGGTTGATTTGGGATTGTTTTAGATATTCTATGAAATTAGATTTTGTTTCATATTTCAAGGTCCCTACAAAAATATTTTTCAATATTTTTAATTTTTTTAGAGTTAACATGTTAGGTTTTTGTATTTTCTTTTTACATTTGCTATGTTTTATAACAATTATTCAAATGTTTGACAGTATAAGGCAAAAAAAAAAATCTCATTGCTGTGTAGATTTAGCAACCAAAACTTGGTGTTGTTAAGAATTCATTAGCCCAAATGAAATCAGTACCAAATAATTTCTTTTCATTGTTAAAATACCTATTTGGTATAGTGAGAAGAATTAGAAATGAAACAGGCTTTAGTTCTGACTGGGCTGAAAAGTTGAAAAGTCAAAATTATTGAAGAATGTGGACTATGTACGTGGACATGATTAGAAAAAAAAATTTTCAATTGAAAAGAGAACAAACAGTGTGACTACTTCATATTCAACTTTGTAAAAGAAATACATTTTTAAAGTCACTGGATCTATTAAATGATAACTGGTGTTATTTCAACTTATTTGTTTTGTCACTCTTTCCTGTGTTTTCTATGATGTCTTTGCAAAATGAACTTTGAAAATGTTCATAGAAGTTATCTTTCAGTCATGTGATTATATATTTTTTCTCTTTAATTATTTCTATTTTTCTATTTCTCCATAAAACTATTATCTTTTTATAAGGATTTTTAACATTTTAAACAAAAATAAGGAAATGTTTTAATAATGGTTTTAAAGAGGATTCTAAGACACAATGGAAAGGTACTTGGGTTTGAGGTCAGGTTCTGGAGTATTTTTTTTTTTTAATGGTGCTGGGAATTGAACCCAGGGCCTTGTGCATGCAAGAAAAGCATTCTACCACCTGAGCTATATTCCCACAGAGGCCAGGTTCTGGGACTGATGCCTGCCTCTGCCTCTTACTAATAGTGGAACTGTTTTCAAGTCAAATTACCTCTCTGAGTCTCTGGAGCATAGGCTGCTAAATCACAACAGTATTGTCCATTTAAAGCATTTGTCATGAACAATAAATGACATAGTCTGGGAACAGTAAATTACCATTACCATGCAAATAATTTTTTTATGGAGAGATACCAGGGCTCCTGTGAGAGTGAATCATAAGAGGAACAAAACACAGTTATGTGGTAGAATATTTTACCCAAGTTAGAAAAGTGGTATTTTCCTGTAGCAGAAGATGACATGGCAGAAGGGGAGACCAGAGGTGACTGGTTGCCAGTATCCTGCAGCCCTCCGGTGGAATGAGAACGCAGCCACTCTTTGCCTTCTTCTTGGTTGGCCTGCCGAGATGATGGGGTATATCTGCAAAACAGCACAGCTAAGATACTTCAGCACATCTACAAGGGCAAGGCAATACCAGGACAGGAAAACAATTGAGAGGAGCTTACTATTCAGACTGAACAACAATCTCAAACAGATTGGATCTAATTAGAATTGCTCAATTCTTCCAGATGATTTGACACCATCTGTTTGAATCCCACAGGAAAAAAAATAAAGGCATTTGAGAAGAAAATTATGCTTCTGTGAGATATGAAGTTGAAAATCAATGAGCAGACAGCCAAGTTAACTGAGGAGAACCCAAAAGCGCAGTGCTTAGAAGGATGTGAGAGGGTGAAGACACAGACTAAAAATGGTGGACAGTGGTAGGCAGAAGCAAGGGAAGGGAAGTGATGGTCACAGAAAGGCATGAAATGGGACACAAACTAATGCCCATTTTTTTTTTAAAAGGAGTAGTAGTTATTTGGTTAAAATGCCACTTGATATCATGTCTGGATTAAAAAGGAAGGAAAAGAAATGTGCTCACTTTATTGGAAAATAAATTTCTAGAACATAATATTGAAATACGATATTGACAGGCATTTGCTATTGCTAACAAATTTGAGAGAAAAAACATAATGGGGAAGACCTAGTTTGGCCAGTACTCACTGTTTCACCAGAGTAATTAAATTCTTAGCACCAAAGAGCAATTGATTTATCCTGCTCATAGTTCTACACCTCCACTACTAGTTTATTCTATGTCTCCTCCTCAGGAAACTGTATGCAGTAAAATATGGCAATGAATTAAAATTTAACTTTAATTTTTATTATGAACTGAATAATTATTTTGAGATTCTTAAATTGTATTGAATTAATTCAGATTTAAATGCATCTGAACCTGGGAAAAATTGAAATTAAGACTTTTGAGGTTTTATCCAAAAATCGATACCTTCATTGTAGTACTTGTTCTGTGATGATGAAAATACATTTTCTTTGATTCAAATTACAGCATCCTTCAACCTTTCATCATTACTGGCCACATGTGCAGACTAGATGGGTTTTGAGGTTTTGCAAGCATATGCCTCCAAGATGTAGAAGTTAGGAAAGTCATTTTATAAATATTTGGAGGAGTTAAGTTCTTCATTCTATAAAAGCTGCTGCCCACCAAAACCAAGGCTTGGGACAAGTGCTTTGAGAACTTCAAAATAGTGGTAATTATACTGAAATTACTTTGAGGCACCATCTCAATCTCTACTAATATCTCTTCCTAAGGGCCATCTCACCCACTCTCTGGACCAGAGAAAAGATTGAGATTACAAGTGATTTCACCCTCAATGTCAGGTGCTACATTGCAAACAAAGAAATAGAGAGGAAGAGAGACAGCACACAAAGTTAACATAACAACAGAAAAAGGAAGCAATTGTGCTGAGATAAATATATACCTTAGTCCCTTTTTGGGTAGTGTATTTCTGTCAAGCTGCATGCTGTTAAAACAAAGAAAACCCCTAAGGACATAATGTAAACAAAACTTCCAAATTATACAACCAACAAAAAATGATTCTCCAAACTACACAAAATAACTGGTAACACATATATATCAAAGTTTAACTCACTGAAAAAGGCCAACAGAGGGTGACAAAATGTCTACTGCTCCCAATGTTCCTTTCCAACCCCATACCATCAATGGTAATATAGTGACAGTATTATTAGTAGATTAAATGATATGTTAGCATAATTGCCCTCTCGATTGTATTTACCTAACACTGTGGTATCTTTCCCTTTCCTTTGCAACTAACTAGACTTTTGCTATGACCTCTCCTGCAGGGGAACCGTAGAGGTGGCAATAAAATAGATGTGCCTGAAGTTAAAGTGACAAGTTCCAGTGGTCAGAAAGGATGAAAAGCACCACTTAAAATCATCTTTTGTCTTCACATTATTTTTAATAAAAGCAGAGGTATTAAGTATTTCCCATTTACATATAAGAGAAAAAGACTAATAATGAGAATTTCCTTAAAACAATGTTTCTGATATTATGTATTTAAATATTTTAATGAAATTAAGCATTACTATTTTTTAGAAATCATCAATTGAGTATTTAAAGAACTATAAAATTTATCATCTCTTTTTAAAAGTATTTTCAATGGGTCATAGGAGGGGATGAAAAGATGTGCCTAGATTAAATGAGAAATGGCCTGTGAAAACAGAGGAAAAGAGGGTGTCAACAACAAAGTGGGACAAGTCTAAGGATTCTGCTATTATCTCTGGCATGTGGACAGCAGAGAGAAAAATTAATTGAATTTGCAGAATTATAGCTCTTTCTTTTAAATCTTCAAATGATCAAAATTAAATACATAGGATATGCATAATGGGGATGACAAAACATGAATGAAAAGACATTTACTTAATCACTCAAAATCAAAGCTAAAATGTTTTCTTCAATGTATACTCCATTAGCATTGTCACAGATAGCATCTGAAGGCTTCACACAACTTTAACATTATTTATTGGGAATGTCCACTTATGGTAATTACTATGCAGAGGACTGTTCCAGGATATATCTTGACTATAGACATTTTCTTAGTAGTATGAATAAACAAACAAAAAGAATCATATTGAACAAATATGAGAAATCTCCAAATATGAACTACATTATGCTAAAGTATTTATGTGGTCATAAGCCATTTTAAAGATCATCTGTTTCATGTGTGCAAATTAAAGTTTAATGCTGCAGGGAAGATTTAAAAATAGATATTCTTTGACAATGTGAAACAGTTGTATAAAAATTATGTGTATATATCACAAGGCAATTTAATAAAAAAATTTAAATTTATCAAAGTAATTTAAAGCTTTAGGTAGAACTCTCCATTCAAATCTGGATGTTACGGATTTTATTATGTAGACTTTCTGTAAACCCTCAGTGGTTGCCAACTCATATACCAGGGAGGGCCAGGTAAGGAGTTGCAATGAGTAAAGTAGGGGTTCCATCAAGGTAGTTTGCCTAAAGTCCATGGTTGTGCAGAAAGACTAGAGCATGGTTGTCAGATTTGACATTCAATAATGAGCCAGAAATTTGCATAGTTGGTTACTATTTTAAATTATTTAGAGTTTGATTAGATCTGAAAAAATACAAAAAAACAAATGGGACTATTATGGCACAAAGGCTACCAGTGATCTAGAATTGCTACAGAGGGAAAGTTATAAAAAAGAAATGTGTTTTATTATTCATTCATTTATTATTTATTTATTTCACAAATTTTAAGGAAAAAGAATTTAAACTAAAATTAAAATCTGTATGAAAACCCACTGACTTAATATAAATATAGGATATGAAAATCAAACTATTGTCATAAACTTACAGATTTCTCTATTGTATATGTCTAATTAATTTCCTTTAAATATTTACACTTTAACACACTTTCTGTCAGATATGGCTCTATTATTTCCTTAGCATTCTCTACATGCTGCTGTCCAATTAAGTCAGAACCACGAACTGCATCCAATTTCCTCTCCAAAGATCAAAAACTTCCTTACATGCATTTTAAAGGGTTAAACTGCGATTGCTTGCAGTTTCATTCCTAAGAAAATGCAGAATGTTTTATATCAAAAAATTATTCCATCCATTAATTTGCTGGGACTAATTAACATCTCTTGTATACTATACCTATGAAGGTATTAACATTTATTTTATGTGGCTTATTGTCCGTGAATGCATTTTTAAGACTCAAAGATAAAGCATTCATTTATCAAAAATTGGTTCACAGTGTATTTTGGAAAAAAGTCTTTATTTGGTTTGCTTAATATTATGGAATTCCCATTTGTAAAACTGGCCTATTTCCAAGATTAATCAACCATTAAAAAAAGATTTGCTTAAAATGAATAAGTAACTACATATTTGTATATTTCTATAGTGAAACTTCATATTGAACTCAGCTAAAATATAGATCATACTAAAATGTCAAAACTGTCTTTCACTTATAGCTATAAAACTCATCAATCTTAAGATGTGATTTTTGACTTGAGGGTTACTGGGTTACAATTAATTACCTGACTATATTTTTTTTGTGTTTAACATCTGAATGCTGAGGAAGGAGGTTGATGGCCAACTTGCTGCAGTTACCTTCATAATTTAAAAGTAATCTGTTTTTGGAGGGTGTTTCTGGATAATAAATAATAACCTATTTGTAGTATGCTTGATCTGGCTGTCAACTTGCTATTTGGATTCCCCACATCTGACTTATAACTTATGATACATTCATTAAAATTGGCTATGAAAATTTATAATTTGACTTAATTTTTAGAAGTTTTATAAATGACCTGTTATGATGCCCATTTACCTTAGAAGTTCTGAAACTAGAATCTGCAATGTTTTTGGAAGCCTAACTTCTTTGATGAAAAAATCAAACACTGGTTGTATATGCTGTTTACAGTAGCAAAACCAAAGGAAAATGTATCAAAAATTTTCAATGACCAGAGTGTTACCCAAATAGTACATTAACACATGTGGCCAAGACTATTTGTGAAAGCTTTAAGTGTGCCAAGAAACAAGTAGGGGAAAAGTGGCAGTTTTAAGAATTTTTAAAATAAATTTTCCCAGGCGTAAGAGTCGGTATCAATTATTTTAGGATTTTGGGGGTTGGTCAGTAGGATTCTAGAATCATTTTGTTCAACATTGACACCTTCTGGTAAGTGTATTAGTCACAGATGCTGCGTTATATTCTGTATTTTAAGTTAGAATTTATTAAACCAATGGAAATACTTGGACGATGATTAATTTTTAAGAGCCTTATTTACAAATGACACTGTATATAATTTTCTTTAAGAATTCAGGGCTGACAACTGACTTTTTTCCCCTCCAATTCCTAGGATTCCCCAGTGATCAGTTTGCTTTTTTTTTTTCATGTAGAAGCACAAATAAAACCAATTTAACATATTGCTCAGAGCATGATTATAGAATTCATTTAAATTTGGTCTTTAAAAATGTTTAAATTATCATAAGGAGCTTATGTTATCATGGAGCTCAAGCCAAATCATTAAAATGTCTTGAGACGTCATCACTCAATATATAAATATATGCTTTAAATGTTCACATTGCCTGCTGGCTATAAATGTACGCATTCATCTTGAGAAACTTAATTATCTAGCCACCCTACCCTTAATGGTGTTATTTCTCTGCAAATTTGGTATAAAAGAAAAGGCTAAGTCTCATCAATATTATGTCTTTCAATCTTGTATTGCTTTGCACAAACGTCACTCACATGGGGAGTTAGGCACGGTGCAGGGAGAAAGGGGTGAGACTTCAGCAATGCTTTCAGGAAAGCTCACCTTTCTGAGAGAGTAGATCTCACACTACCCGTTCTCATGAGCAGGCTCTGAACCTCGTGAGTGCCTGTGGTCAGTCCAGACAGGGAGCCATGATGGCTGAGGGGCAGGTCAATGGACTCAGAGCTCGTATGGAGGCTAGTCATGGACTGGTAACTCGGAGTGTCCTTGCTGCCGGCAGAGGAACTGCTCATATTGGCAGCCCACACAAGACCACCTGATGTGAAAGAGTGAACCGATGCTGGACTGGAGGCCAAGGAGTGACTTAAGCTTATAACATCTGTAGTTAAGTCTGAGGGTTTATTGAAGAGTGGGCTGCTGCTGCCACTTAGCCCTCCAGCACTGCCCATGCTGCCTGTACCAGACGACGGTGATTCCAGACTGCCTTGTCGCGCTAATGTGGTACTAGGGCTGGGCATTACTGAGGAGGATTTCACACCCTCCGTATTAGGTGCAGAGGCAGATTTGCCACCTGCCTTGGCACCAAACAACCTAAAAGAAAAACAAATAACAACTTCAGTTGTTCCAAGAAACTAATATCCACATTTAATATTTAGGGTTACAGTGCACAAGAGCCAAGTGTGCTGTGGTGTACTGAGCTACCAAGCACATCTTGTCTCTATGTTAAAGAACTTTATAGGCTTGGTTGTTTTATTAATTGAGTGCTCAAAATCTCTCATATCCTCATGGTGAGGGTTAAGTCAGCTCTGGGCTGCTACCTGGGGCAAGGAGGAAGCAGGCAAAACAAAGACCAAGCATGAAAGTTCTGGGCTTTCACAATTTAAGCGATCATAAGAATCTTTCATGCAAGTATTCTGATCATTCTTGAGGTTACCTATTTACAGAACCATTATAATGAAACAACTTCTACGCATTCGATATAGAACACTTAAATGAATTTTTTTTCTTTTTGACAGTTTATTCAGTATCTAAAAGGAATGCTTAAGGCAAAGTCTAGGAAGTTGCATTGAATATCTGGTGGCCTGGGTGCCTGTCAGGGAGTAGTTGGTCAGAAACGATATTGGACATTGTTGGCAACGTGTGAGTTTGTCCACATTTTCCCCTGGAAAGGCCAAAGGGTTTCGTGTCAGTTGCCAGGGCTCTTCAAATGCATATTTATAATAGACGTGAAACACAGTTGGTGCTAAGTTAAATATTGGAGTTTAGTTTAGAAAACATTTTAGTTTTGTAAATGAAGCAGATGATATAATCAGATTTATGTAAATATGGAAATAAAGTGATATGAAGTAATGGCATAATGATTACAGATTAAGTTGCAATGAAATCCATATTTTCTACAGTGAAATATTTTATGACGAATATGAGAAATTGTTTCATAGGTAATGGACCACAGGAGGGCACTATTTGCTTTTCCTTAAGCAATGCAAATATTTACTCTTGCTATAAGCTGTAATTTATTCTTTCCAATGAGGATCAACCTTTCAAAATGCCAGTTCTTCAGGATTAATATTTATATTGAGAATTGAACTTTCTAGAATTTAAAAAAATCAAATTTACTAAATGTTTTAAGACCAATTATTTCCAAAATATCAAAGGCCTTGGTTTAGTTAGCAGAATAAAAGCAACATTAAAAATATTGAGGTAATGAACTGTAAGTCATGCTCTATAATTTCTCAGATGAGAAAACAGACCCAGGTAGGTATAACTTATTTGTTTCAAGTTTTTAACTATATTTATTTTCCTGTTACTTAGGTTATTTAGAAACAGTTATATTTCTGAGAACTTCACCTATTTGATACCAAAGATCATACTGTTGCAGAAACCAATCATTTGCTTACCAGAGTCCTGACAAAGAAAGCTGATGAAGAACTAGAAAATAGCCTGTCATCCTATATCAAAATTCTGAATGTTTTCAAACCTTGCCAATCATATCATACCTTAATTTTCTTTAGTATGTCAAGATATGGTACTGTATGAATTTGCCCTATGTAATCTGTTATAAGAACACAGCATCATCTACATTATGACCATCGACTCATTAAGAACCAGCCATATCACAAAACATTGGAAGTCAGTGCTGATAGTCATAAAGACTGACTGCTTTGATTGATGAAAATCTACTGAAATTTTACAAGCTATTACTTTGTTTTAATCACTATCCCCGAGTATTGCCATCTGATTTCAATTCTCTTACATATGCTGTTTGTATTGCTAATACCACAACGATAATGCAATTGCAAAGTTTGACCATTTCTCAAAAGGAGCACTGCTTTTTTGCTACCTATGTATATGATCAGATTCTTAGAACTCTTTGCATTTTTATATATATACACACACACATATATAAATGTTTGTATATAGTATATGTATATGACATGTACATCCTATATTTTTTATGCATCATTTTGTATATCCTTACCTTCGAAATGTAGGTGAAGCAATATCTGGATACTTGGATCCTGGCTGCCTGAGCCCTTGAGTGCCACAGGCACTGGCAGAGGTGGGGCTGGATTTAGGGGAACCTGACAAAGAAACACTCTCTGAATCTGAGACTGCTACTTTTTCTTTCTCCTTGTCTGTTTGGTTGACAGTGACAGGGCTTGAGCGCCCCGACCCAATCTTAGTTGGTTCTCTTAGTTTTGAGGTGGTGGCACCAGCTGACTTGCTGCTGACATTGGAATCAATACTGCTGGTACTAGACCTGTGGCCACCTCGTCCAGGAATACCACTGGTGCTGGACTTTGAAGGGCGAGGCAAGCTGCGGTACTGTAGGGTGGTCTTGGAGCTCACATGCAGCACAACGTCATCTTGATTCTGTGAACCATCCAAACTGGTTTTCCTCCCTGCATTTGACTTCCCACCAATGGCGGCAGATTTGGGGATTTTGCCCAGTGTTGCTGAGCCGCTTGTTATAGTTGCTCCGCTGCTAGTGATCATAGTAGAAGACCCTACTCCACTTGGTTTCTTAAATCCAAATGAGCTGGTGGCAGTGGATCTTCCAATACCTGAGGGGGGCTTTTTCCCCTCATCTCCACTGCTTTTCCCTGCATCTGAAGGAGACCTTTGTAGGGAGGATCCTTTCAGGGGAGTTTTCCCTTTCTCAGAAGCTTTGGCATCATCGGTTTTCCCTAATTAATGAGAAATACACAAATATGGGTCTGCACATTTTGGTGTCATGCCTCTTCCTAAAGTAATGTATAAAATGAGAATGTTTCTTTATATTACTTCAGCTCCTAAATGTGAACTGCTTTAGATCTTGGCGTGCAATCTAACATATTGGGAGGACTGAGTGTGTAAGCACAAAAAAAAATTTTAGCTGTCAGAGGAAATTTGATCAGAGATGGAGGAGATAAAATGAAAACAAGTACTTATGCTATCTGTTAATATCTCATGTCTTGCAATTCTCATGCTTTAAAAGGATCACACTTTACCCGATCAAGCAAAATATTAGAGAAAGAAAATATAATACATCGAAATGATTATATTTGGATGACTTGTAACATCCATACTTCAGGTGACACTGTTTAATAAAAGTTAAATAACTGCTTAAAAAAAGTTAAGGGGAACGAAGAGTTAAAAAAAAAAAAGAAGGAAAAGGTGTGTTCTTTCAGAATTCTTTTACTCTTTTCTTTTAAAAAATCGAATCCCAAACAGGATCTTAAATATCCAGCATCCTAACCCATTAAATTAGTGTGACTGCTTATGTCCCTCAGAGTTTGTGATGAAGCTCAGTGGCATAACTAACATAAATATTATAAATTTTCCTAATGAAGTTAGAACAGATGGAGGTACACTGTTGATTCAGTAACCTTATTTTATTTCTCCATGACCATAAATGATCACAAAACACTAAGACACTCCAGATCCCCAAACTGTGAGGGAGGTCTCTAAAGCATGCCTAGATGGTCATATTCATGTCATATTCATGAAAAAAGTGTGTGAAATTTAGTTAAAATGTTATTTAAGTATATGGAGAAGAATCTGATTTTAAAAGAGAGCTATTTTTAAAGAAAATAAAACTGAATTAAAACAATAAATTAAAGCACTTTTTGGAACAGCTGCCAAGTGCCAGGCCTACCAGGAGTCTTGAGTGCACTTGTCCCAGCTTTCTGTCTGGCTGGAGTCCCTCCCTGGGTGGATGTGCCTCTCCTCCAGGAACCCGTTTGAGAAACAGACAGGGAAGCTTTCTGGCTGGTCTTCTCAGGGTCCTCAGGAAGTCCCGAGGAGCTACTCTTCCACTTGCTACCTCCATCACCATGACTGTCAAAATCCTCTTCTATTTTTTTCAGCTCTTCGGGACTGTCCCAGGTCTCATCTGCTGCGGAACGTTTCTCCGAATCCGTCTTCAGCTATGAAGAAAAATATTTCAGAAAAACTCTATGCAGAAAAATCTATAAAGTGAATTAGGCACTGGAATGCTTTCCCAGATAACTGGTTTAAAAAAAACGCTGCACTGATTTATACGTCTTCAAAAGGATTCCTGAGACGATTCTATTTTTATCTATGTCTTCATTTAGGTTTCATTAATTTTAGCCACATAATTCTCACTTGCACAGATTAGAGAATGTCAGGATAAATATGTGCAGAAAAACCTAATTAAACACTCCAGAAAGGAAGGAATTTTCTGTGTCAAATGTAACAAGGAAAGGTAAGACAAGATAAAACTTAATCATTTAATGTCCATTCTTGACTTGCCATTAGTACATGAGAACTCATAATTCATTTCAGGGATCAAAATAAAATTAATCAAGCACTATCCAAAGGTTGGCTGTTTGGAACAGATATATCAATATTAATAGGAAACACGTGACAACATAGCTCTTTCTAGGTTAAATGATAAAAATAGGAAATACATATATGTAAGCTGCTTTCTATGATCAAAATTAGGCTGAGGTGCACATTGTTGCAAATCCTAAGGCTGTAGCTCTAGCAAAGACTAAGATAAAGACACTTTGGGGACCAGGGAAGCAAAATGAATCCTTCTTAGCTCTGGCTTAATCAGTTAATGCAATTATTTCAGGGTAGGAGGCTGTGCTACGACTTAATCTAATACAAAATAATTTTGGGGAAGAAAGTGGCAGAAGCAGTGGTAAAAGAAAGTAGGTGACTCCTACCTGAGTGTTCTTTCTGGAAGGGACAGTGATGTTGGAATAAGAGCTGACTGAAGACGTGGTGTTCAGGTCATCAGTGCTGATGTTATCGAGGGTGTCACTCAGGCCACTGCTCACAGAACTGCTATCATCCCAGCTAAAAGCAAGACATACAATAGTAATGAGTTCAACCCAGGACACACAGGGCAAGTCATTACATTTTCATAATACGTTGATCAGGTATTAGGAAGGCAATCTTTTTTTTTTAATCTTATGATGAAATGATGAAATATTACTTATTTCCCACTTTGGGAAAAATCATGGAAATTGAGTGCCTACCTGTGAAAAACCTTATCTGAAATTTAGAAAGAACCAGTGTCTACAGTAGATCCAAGTTCCAGGGGAACTTGTGGAATTAATGAAAACACTGATGCAAGTATTGCACAATATCAGGAAAGAATAATATTCAACTGGCTTTTCTTTTTCTCCCTAAAAAAACCCCCCAGAAATTATAAAGCATGGTTCATTCAACCTTTGTTGTAAAAATGTTAAAAAAAAGAAACCTGTGTTATAGTCATAAACCAGAAGGTCATTTTTCATTCTTTTTTCCTACCCTAGTATCTCTTTCTAATGATTCACCAACCCTTAAATATTGAGATTCATTCAATCATATCGTCATCAGTCAGAATTCTGAATAATATACAATATTCTCCTTTCTAACTTTCCTGCTTTTGGTCTTTTCTAGTACAACCTCGCCTGCTAAATCTGGGACAGTGATTAAAAATTCACATCTGGCCATGACACTACCCTGCTACTCTCTCAAAATCTCTCCTTTCCCAAGCCCTAGATTCTAAAACAAAATATATTTGCTTCACAGGGTGCATGGCAAAATCCACTTTTGGTATAAGAGAAATATCTAGAATTCTGAGCCTATTTTTTTTCATCTAACCAAGAATTATCTGGACTGTATTAATACTCCTGTGCAGGCTAACAGACTCCTTCACTTAATCAATGTGTTAGATAGTACAGAAATAATGTAGGATGAGCAGAGTCACCTGAAGGAGAGTGGGGACTCTGCTCTGCCAGGGGGTGAAACAGAGTCCCTTTGTTTACTGACTGGCTCTCAATGAATTATGAAATATTATCACTTATCTGTGCTATGTTAAATGAATCTTTGCATATTAGATTCAGAAATAATATATAGGGAAAAGATAGTCTCATGAAACAGACAGGTTGCTTTAGATATCCTGTAAATAATCCAACACTGAAGAGTGTACTCATAAGGAAAACATGAACAAAACTCCAAAGGAGTGATTAATGTATTTTTGAGCTACATGATAAGTTAAAAATAATAGTGATGTATTCAGATCACACATGATACTGCCCAAAAAATTGAATTTATAGAACTATCACTAATGATGATCCTTCCTTGCGTATGTATTTTGCTTGAGATTTTATAACACCTCATGATTGCTAAATACTTATAAATAAATGAGATTATTATCAATAACAATTATTTTTCAATGTCAGCAAATTATGTATTTTCTGTCATTTTAGCAAATATCTGTCATCTGTGGAATACCTTCTGTATATTTTATTTTGATAGTTTCTTACATCTGGAGCCATAAGATCCCAAAGTAGAATATAAAGGAATTCACACTTCCAGACTCCTGACAGACAGCAGCATAGGTTCTATCTACCATTTATGCCCACAGAATCACAAAGGAGAAAAACCATCTTTAGTGAACAAGGTAGCAGAATTGTTTGAGTCTTTTCCATCAGCTAGAAGAGTCATTTAGTTCTTCCCTATTAGCACTGGAAGATATCTGGCCTCTTATTCTAAGAGTCAGAGGTACCCACTGGTATCAGAGTCAAGGTGTATGGTTTTCTAAGAGCCCAGTTCTCCAATCAGCCCCCAAATCCAAAGAGCCTTCTAACATGATGTAATTCCAAAGCAAATTCTGTATTTTGCAATTAAGAACCTCAATCAATACATTCATAATTCATAAAACATCATTCATTTTTTATTATATTTAATTTTTAATGTTTTTATATATTAAGTAATTCACATAATACCTTCTCACAGGAATATGTGCATATCAATTATAAAAACATAAATATGCACTTGGATAACCACTAGTATAAAATAAAACTCAGGCTCATTAACAAGAAAGATATCAAGTTAATGAGAAGATAAGCCACAGACTGGAAGAAATATTTATAAAATACATATTTAATGAAGTACTTTTGCTACTCAAAAGACATAAAGAGTCTCAAAAACTCAACAATACAAACAAGTCAATTAAAATGGGCCAAAACTTAACAGACACCTCAGTTAAAATGATACACAGATGTGTATGAGCATATGAGCATATGAAAAGATACTAAAGACTGTGTCATTAGGAATTGCAAATTAAAACAATAGTTACCTATTCACCTAGGATGGCTAAAATACAGAAAATGATGGCCAAATGCTGATGAGGATGTGAAATACTAAAACCCTTATTCATTGTTGGCAGGAAGAAAAAAGACATTTTGATAGTTTCTTATAAAAATAAACCTATTACACTGTATGATCCAGAAACTGCACTCTTTGGTATTTCAAATGAGATAAAAATTCACATCCACACAAAACCTGAACAAAGACATTTATAGTAGCTTTATTCACAATTGCCAAAACTTGTAAGCAACCAAGAAGTCCTTCATTAGATAACCGGGCGAAGGAATATTATTTAGCATTCAAAAGAAATCATGTATCCAAATACAAAAAGACACAGAGGAAACTTAAATGCATGTTACTAAGTGAAGTAAGCCAATCTGAAAAGGCTACATACTATATTTCCAAACATAATTTCTGGAAAAGGCAGACTATGGATATATATATATCATATGGCAGACTATGGATATATATATATGAATGAAGGAAGCAGGGGCTTTCAGGGGTTGGGAGAGAAGGATAAAGAGGTGAAACATGAAAGATTTGTAAGGTAACAAGACTATTCCTGTGTTATACCAAAATGGCTGATACATATCCATACATGTTTTCCCAAACTCATAGGACATACAGTATCCAGAGCAAATACTAATGTAAACTTCCGAATTGGGGAAATAAGGATGTGTTCATGAAGGTTCATTAATTATAACAAATATATCACTCTGGTGGAAGATGTTGTTATTTGGAAAGGCCCTGATGCATGGGGGTAAGGGGTACATAGAAAGTCTCTTAACTGACTGCTCAAACTTAATAAAAGATTAAGACTAAGGAAGGAAGGAAGGAAGGAAGGAAGGAAGGAAGGAAGGAAGGAAGGAAGGTAGGGAGGGAGGGAGGGAGGGAGGGAGAGAGGAAAAGAGGGAGGGCTGGAGGGACAAGTCTTTGTCCAAACAGGGCTTGCCATGTGGCCTCAATCTGCTTTTTTAGCTTAGATTTTACTTCCTCTGTCTTGTGTTCTGCACTAGGACTTGGGACTGTGTGTGCTTTCAATCACTTCTGCTTTGAGGATCTGTCCCCGCCAGCTCTCTGACCAAGCCGCACTTGGCTGCATGCCTCAGTTCAGGGGCTTGTCTTCTAGGAAGATGCTTACTCTCTGTTCTCAGGAAGACTTAAGTACATCTTCTATACTGTCATGACACACTCTTGGACTGGATTTAGCATATTGTTTTATAAAAAAAAAAAAGGTGGACCATTAACCAATATGTATCCTGAGCTCAGAATTATGAGGTTTTTTTTTTCTTTGACTCACTACTTACTGGCAAGGGAAATGCATAACATTTCAGTGTTGAATAAAAGTCTTGAATTTTGTTGAGATTAAGCGAAAGACAGTTACTGAGGTAATCTCTCATACTTAACATGAGTTTTTAAGAAATATCTACCATCCTATGTTCTATATTCAAAGAGTGAAATTAAACAGAAATGTAAAAATTTTTTTTTTAATTTTTTATTGTTGGCTGTTCAAAACATTACATAGTTCTTGATATATCATATTTCACAATTTGATTCAAGTGGGTTATGAGCTCCCATTTTTACCCCATATACAGATTGCAGAATCACATCAGTTACACATCCATTGATTTACATATTGCCATACTAGTGTCTGTTGTATTCTGAGCATTTTAGTGACATTTTCTCTGACAGAAAAGCTAGACATCAAAATTTCAATAGCTTTTTACTGATATAAATCCTGTATCAATTAATATAAAGTTAAATGCTACAACTACTACTGTAATCATAGCATGTACTTTTGTATTTGCTTAAAAACCATTTAATGTCTCAAATGAACACAATGTACCTTTGTGGTTAAAATTACATACATGAATGATTCCAAAATAAGTCAAAAATTTTCACTCAATAGAAAACTGAAACATTATCTAACAAACATATAAAAGAACAAATTTCAAATTTAGTTTGTTGTAATTGAATAAAACCAATGGATTCATGGGGTTAAGGTCTTGTATTTGACCTTTTTAGAGTTACACAACTAATATGCTTACTGCATTACACAGTTCTGACTTTCCCATCTCAGTGTTTTGTGGAATGTAAATGAATCATTTCCATGAACCACTTTATACTATCTTACATTCTTCTAGCTCCTCAAACTGCTTTCCCTCTAAGATCTCAAACTCCAAAATCTCACTTTTTGGCAATACTCTTCTGTTTTCTAGCACTCTAAAACTATTGTGTTCTACTTTTTGTGTCCAGTTTTATTTTTTCTTTTAACTCCACTCATCCCTTACTAAATGATGTGGGATTCAAAGATGTTGAAACCAAAAGATAGCCTGAGTGAAGGCTTAATCAGTACACTATTAATAGTTCTCCTTCCTCCTTAATAGACTTTTATATCAATCTTAATCCTGTGTTAATTCAAATGTATGTTTTATTCATTCATATTGTTTTAGTCATTTTCTGTTTCTGTGACAAAATTCCTGAGGCTGGGTATTTTACAAAGAAAAAGGGTTGTGACTTGGGAGGCTGAGGCAGGAGGATCACGAATTCAAAGCCAGCCTCAGCAATGATGAGATGCTAATCAACTCAGTGGGACCCTGTCTCTAAATAAAATACAAAATAGGGCTGGAGATGGGGCTCAGCGGTTGAGTGTCCATGAGTAGTTCAATCCCAAGTACCAAAAAAAAAAAAAAAAAAAAAGAAAGAAAAAGGGTTTA